ATCTTCAGGTCTAGAATCCATGTGACTGGGGATGGAAAACAAATAATCTTATCAGCCTCTCCAGACAAAACTTCTGTATGTCATCTCAACTTGTCAAGAATTAGTTGCCTCTGTGTATACGGACAGATGCCTAAAATATCATTGTGTAAAGAGTGCACTTAGCAATATGGTTTTATGTGCCTATGGAGTACATTGTTTTTCCAATAACAAAAAAAATGAACATTGTATCTAGTCTGTATATTCTGTTTCCTCCCTGACACCTCTTATTTTTTACACGTTCTTGGGCAATTACTTAAACCAAATAAGGCATAAGTGCTGTTTTGGAAGTGTGTGAGGTTTTTTGTTTGTTTTTAATCCAGGCTCACAGCTTGGGACTTTACTGGATTCAGGATTGTTTTTCCAGAGCTCAGTCTAGTGCACTAAATTCACTTGTTCCTGTAGAGAGTAGATCTGGATACTATTTCATATGCCTTAGTCACATCCAGATGGTATTTGCAACGTGTACTTTTCAAGGATTGCTATTAACAGAAATCTAACTTGCTGGGGTTTTCCTGCTACATGCACAACCAATTTTCAGAATATTTTAATGTGGAGTTTGATGACCGAAATAGCGCAAGGATGTATACTGGAATAGTATTGCATTATCTTGTCTGCTTTCATGCTGTTAGCAGCCCTGTTCCTTTCAGAACTAGGGAGCAAAGTTACCTTAGAAACTCTCCAGGAAGGAAGGTACTGTGTAGTGAGAAGGGGTTTGGACAAGTATGAGGATTTAGGTGGAATCATAGAATTGTAGATTTGGAAGGGACCCTGAGGGTCATCTCATCCAACTCCCAGCAATGCAGGAATCTCAACAGATGACCATGGATATGGGTTTCTTTCCCTTGGTGATGGTAATCCTACCCCACTAGAGAGAACTCCTTCCACAGAAAAAGGTGTCGGATTTCTTGATCTAGATATAGCATCTAGACCAAGGGAAGTAATAGTGCCACTGTATTCTGCTCTGGTCAGACCTCACCTGGAGTACTGTGTCCAGTTCTGGGCACCACAGTTCAAGAAGGACACTGACAAACTGGAACGTGTCCAGAGGAGGGCAACCAAAATGGTCAAAGGCCTGGAAACGATGCCTTATGAGGAACGGCTAAGGGAGCTGGGCATGTTTAGCCTGGAGAAGAGGAGGTTAAGGGGTGATATGATAGCCATGTTCAAATATATAAAAGGATGTCACATAGAGGAGGGAGAAAGGTTGTTTTCTGCTGCTCCAGAGAAGCGGATACGGAGCAATGGATCCAAACTACAAGAAAGAAGATTCCACCTAAACATTAGGAAGAACTTCCTGACAGTAAGAGCTGTTCAACAGTGGAATTTGCTGCCAAGGAGTGTGGTGGAGTCTCCGTCTTTGGAGGTCTTTAAGCAGAGGCTTGACAACCATATGTCAGGAGTGCTCTGATGGTGTTTCCTGCTTGGCGGGGGTTGGACTCGATGGCCCTTGTGGTCTATTCCAACTCTATGATTCTATGATTCCCTATGAAAGTGGTTTGATGAAAGGAGTTCACCCCGCCTTTCCCTTTTGGGGAAGGGCAATAGCTCAGTGGTATAGCATCTGCTTTGCATTCAGAAGGTTCCAGGTTCAATCCCTGTCATATCAGGGTAGGACTGGGAGACAACCCATCCCAAAATCCTGGTGAGCTGATCTAGATGGGCCAATAGCCTGACTCTGTAAAAGTTAGCATCCTGTGCTTCTATGTTTTCAGTTTTTCCTGGTGGCAGTCTTCCACATACAGCTACACATTAAGGGTCTATCTCTCTCTCTATATATATATATTCTATCTTATCTACAGTGGTACCTCTGGTTACGTACTTAATTCGTTCCGGAGGTCCGTTCTTAATCTGAAACTGTTCTTAACCTGAAGCACCACTTTAGCTAATGGGGCCTCCTGCTGCCGCCGTGCCGCCAGAGCACGATTTCTGTTCTCATCCTGAAGCAAAGTTCTTAATCCGAGGTACTATTTCTGGGTTAGTGGAGTCTGTAACCTGAAGCGTATGTAACCAGAAGCGTATGTAACCCGAGGTACCACTCTATCTATCTATCTATCTATCTATCATCTATCTATATATCTATCTATATCTATCATCTATCTATATCTATTCATCTATCATCTATCTATCTATATTATTTTTCTTTTAAAAGTCCATGATGCTGACAAATCAAGAAAAGCTAAAAGGTATAATAAAAACCATCATATTAGTTTGTTGATGTTAACAACAGTAGCAACTAGTGACAGCAATAACAAAAACCTCGAAAGCTTTCAGTCAAACAAAGTGCTCAGTCAGAGGCCTTCTTAAGTAACCAAAGAAGTAGCCAACTTAATCACACTTAGAGTAGACCCACTGAAATTAATAGAGTGATGTTTTTACTGGTCTTCTGAAACAATAAAGAGGGTCTAGTGAATATCAGCTGGTAGAACAATAGCTAGGCACCACAACAGAAAAACTGGTAGAGCTCCTCTGACCACGAGGGTCAAGGTACTGTCGTTGCTTAATACTAACTTCAATTTCTACCATATGATTTCATGCTAGCTAGGGAAAAAACCTGCGGTGTAAATAGTATTTACACTTAATTTATGGTTGTACCCATCTACTACACATTAATGTTAAATCATCCTAAGTTATTATGCTATTTTCCCCTGTTGCTCTCCCCCGCTGTCGTCTGCTTTCTTTCCTTAACATGTTAGTCTTCCAACATCTCCATAAAGACTCCCCAGATATAACCAGAGTTCCATGTTACAGATGTTATTCTTTTGTGTTGGAATATTTTGGCTAAATCTTGTCAATTTATTAGCTAGACATCTGTTAATGTGCAATTGCAGTCTAGCTGAAAAAGGACCTACAGTGACTGTCTAATTCAAAGATAATATCTGATGTTATAATAGAAAATAAGCTACTTTTAAATTTTATGAAGTTCTGAGACCATGATAGTCTTAGGTGCTAACAAAGTGCCGTGCAGTTTGGTGTATTGGTACACTGCTAAATTTAGAAACACTTCTGGGGCATTAAGTGACTGCTGCCTTAAATAAGCTGTTTCGTGATTTTCATGTTGGTCTTGTTCTCCATGTTTGAGAGAGGTTGGGTGCTAGTTCCCACTGGCACTGAGTGCCATATTCAAGGATTCGTGTTCAAAATCACTGGCTTTGAGTATAAAAAAATAACAGGAGCAAACTATTTCAGGATTGAAGTTAGTCATTTATTTGGGCAGGATAGCAACTCCTAGGCAACGAGCTTACTAATCCCAACACTCAAGGTATACAGTGATACACAGGGGAGCATTTTGTGCATTAGTTATAGTTAGATCTCTATATAGAGCTTGAAACTTGTGACGTTAATACAGTGGGGGGACTGGATCCTCATTTGCCGCAGTGGGGAACCTCTGCCCCCCAGCCTAATTATGTTTACCTTTGTTCTGCTTGCTCATTTTACCCAACCCTGCTCACCTGTCCATCCATATGACATCAGGCATGAGACAGGAAAAGCTTCAAATTGCACTGAATTCAAGCCATAGCTGCAAAGGAATGTTTGCAGCTTGAATTTGGCATGGCTTTGTATTTGGTTGTCTTATTGTGTCCCACTAGTTGTTGGCTCTTTTCCAGAGTTACTGACTGGCTGTATAGTTGGATTATAGGTGGAAAGAACTTGGAAGTCCTGGGAAGCAAATGTTGTTGTGGAAATGTGTCATCAAAATGGAAAGACGACTGAAAGGGAAATTGCAGTCCTAACAAGGGGGACTGTACCTGTGTTAAGCATTGGCTGTAGAAGACAATTTCCCTTGGCATAAACATTTAGGATTTAAATATTGTGCTTGGCAAGCAGCCTGCAGTTGCTTAAAGTGGTTGGATGAATGCTTGCTTTTGGGGGAATTCCCAACCATGCAGGTGCTAAAGCTGTAAGTGTTTAATTTTAGATACACATTTCAGAAATTAAATTCCTGTGCTTAAATAACTTGTATATGAGCAGCTTTTGCATAAGATGCTTGTACCTTCATGCACATTGTGCCCTCATTCTACTACAGTTAGAGTAAAGGTTGTACAGAAGATTAGCCTTATTTCACAAACTTTGAATTCCTGGATTTACTTTAGATTTGCAACTTCGTTCAGTGTAACTGCAGCATAACAAGCAGTATCAGGGGTGTATCTTTGATGTTCTGATGCAGTACAGAATCACAGATGCGCTGCTAAGAGGCATTATAGGCTATGGAAATTACTATTACTGATTGTGCCAAATGAGAAATGCTAAGCTGCTGATCCACCACACAGCACCAAAGAAAAGAAAATTGGATCAAACTCTAGATTTCATATACTTTGAAGTTGTGTATGATTAAGAATTAATTACCGTATTTTTTGCACCATAACACTCACTTTTTTCCTCCTAGAAAGTAAAGGGAAATGTCTGTGCGTGTTATGGAGGAAATGCCTACGGGTGGCATGCCTACGGATTTTCCTCCTCTAAAAACTACGTGCGTGTTATAGAGCAAAAAATACGGTAATTTTTAGGGAGCTAAAAAGTTCATTCTGAGATCATTTAAGATAAAGCGCTTGAACTACAGAGAGGCTTCCTTCTCTTGGATCTTAATCAGCTGATAACCTAAAAGGTGTTTATGAAGATGTGCTGTTATAGGTTGAAAATGCTGGTATGCATTGATGAGAGAACATTTGCTCTGAACCAGTATTAACTTAAAATCCCTTGAAAACAGATGAATTATAAGAACATCAGTTTCTTTCTTCAAAATAAAAATAGTTTGTTATTTGGGCTTTCATATTTCCTGTAAAAGTTAAAAATGAAGTAATTTCACAACTGCATTGTGTGCAGTTAAGTGTAAAGCCATGCTATATTCATGTTTGTTATCTATTTACAAGTTAAGTACTGGAACTTGATGTGGAATTGGGTGTCCAGTTATTATTTGCGTGTCCACACCTGTTTGATCACAGCTCTTGTGTGTTTCTTTGCAGGTGCAGGTGGGGCAAGCAGACATCCAATGTCCCATAACAGAGTGTAGCGAACACCTGGATGAAACAACTGTCCTCTACAACTTGCCACATGATGACATCATCAAATATAAGTACTTCCTGGAACTTGGCCGTATTGGCTCGAGCACCAAGCCATGCCCTCAATGCAAGCACTTTACAACCTTCAGGAGGAGAGGCCACATTCCAACCCCTACCAAAATGGAGAACAAGTACAAAGTGAGCATGCTCACCAAAGCTATGGATTAGATGGCACAGCTGTGAGCCGCAAAAGTAGGCCAGGATATGGTGGGCATTAAATGGGCTTTCTTCTCTTACTGGAACCTAATGTAAGATGTGCTTTTAGAATACAAATCTGTAGTTTCATACCCCTTGCTAGTCAGCTTTCCAGAGTAGCTGGCCAGTTAACCTATTAGTTCCTTTCTTTATTGTACCGCGTTGTTGTTTATTTTGAATTAACCATGCTGCCTGAAATATTTCACGAAGTCTGGCAGTTCCTACATTCCACCAAGCATTAGGTGAATACCACCATACTTTTCAGTAAGTATTAAGTTACATGTATCCATGGTTGAACTTTCTGTAGGTTTTAGCTATGCCGTTTGATAACTGCAGTGGAAGCTAACTTAGAAATTCTTAAGGCCAAGCACTTGTTGATTGGCTCTTAATTATGGGCCATCTTCTCTTATGTGCCCTGGTTCTCAGTAATTAAATAGGAGTACTGAAATAAGTCTGTATTGAGGGGCCCTGTCTGTGTAAATAGTGTTCAAGACTTGTAAAACTGTTTTGTTGACTGACCAAAAGTCTGTTGTATTGGTTGAGATCCAATGTCATGCCAATGAACACAAGAGGTTTCGCCCTTCATCTACTTCTTGTTGTAGTTCCCTAGGCCCCCATCTTTTCCAGATGGTTCCTCACGCCTTCAGAGAAAATTTGGGGGACACAGGAAGGATAAGCCCCATTCGTGCAAGTGCAAGTCTACTGTGCAGGTTCCACAATGGAATATTACCTATTATTACTGTTTATGTAGCTAGTCTGTATTCCCATCTTTCTCCCGTTAATATGTAGACATTGGTGTAGAACAGGGATTCTCAAAGGTGGAATCTACAAACATATAAAAAATGTGAAAATGCTTTTTTAAAAAAAGTTTTGAAAAATACATTGAATTTGGCATAGCTCACTGTCGCCATCTAGTTTCATATATTTATATTGCACTTTACAACACATTTAAAACTTTTTATTTGCAGCTTCAGATAGGTAGCCGTGTTGGTCTGACACATTCGAAATAAACAAAAAATAAAATGAAATGAAAGCTTATACCCAGAACAGATTTAGTTGGTCTCTAAGGTTCTACTGGACATTTTTTATTATTATTTGCAGCTGTATAGTTGAGTTCAAATTGTGGCCTGTAGACCATCAGTGGTTGGTGAGCTTCATTTAGGTGGTCTGTGGCATGTCTGTCAATTTGTGTTTGAAGATGGGAGATGGCACATCCATCACATTAAATACTCATATTGATTTTCGATTGTATTTTTATTGCTATGAATTCCAATTGCAATATGATAAAATATAATATATAAGAAATGAAAAAAGCAATTAAAATGCAATTAAAAACCATACTGCATCTACTGAAGTGTATTACAATGGCTACAACAGGTAGAAAAACTATTAAGTGGTCCACAAAGACCCTCAGGCATTTGCAAGTGGTCTGTAAGGAGGAAAGTTTGGGAATCACTGGTGTAGAATCTTGGGCAAGGATAATATTTGCATAAATCCTGTTCAGATTACTGGTATGTAGGTGAGTTTTACATGAACAATGTGAGTAAATGTTGTAGAATGCTTGGCTTTGAAAGCAGTTGGTAAGAAAATCTTTGTGGCACAAGTACCATAAAGCTAAGAAGAATACGTGCAAGCTCTTTGTCAAGGTTTTCCAATGATGTGGAATGTTTTTATTTGCAAGTAAAACCCTAGCAAATGCTTTTAGCGGGTGGCGCTGTGGTCTAAACCACTGAGTCTCTTGGGCTTACTAATCAGAAGGTCGGTGGTTTAAATACCTGTGACAGGGTGAGCTCCCATTGCTCTGTCCCAGCTCCTGTCAGCATAGCAGTTCGAAAGCATGCCAGTACAAGTAGATAAATCGGTACTGCTGTGGCAGGAAGGTAAACGGTGTTTCCGTATTCTCTGGCACTTGTCACAGTGTTCCGTCATGCCAGAAGCGGTTTGGTCATGTTGGCCACATGAACCGGAAAGCTGTCTGTGGACAAACACCGGCTCCCTTGGCCTGAAAGCGAGATGTGCGCTACAACCCCATAGTCACTTTTGACTGGACTTAGCTGTCCAGGGGTCCTTTACCTTTCTTTTTGTTGTTGCTGTTGTATGGTGCTCATACAAAACACTTTTGTTCTCCTTATCATTGGCAGATAGGGAACTGAGGCTGCAGTAAGTCACCCAACAAATTCATGGCTGAGCAGATTTGAGTTCTGCATTTCCATATTGATTTGGTGAACGACAGTGATTCGATTCTAACTCCTTTTGAATTTTCGCTCCTGGTCCCTATTTCAAATTACATTCTGCTGCTTTACTTGTTCCATTAAGTTATGTCAATGTAAAGAGCAGCATAATGCGAGATTGGGGACTGATGTAATAAGATTAAAGTGCATTGTATAACTGGATAGCTTAAAGGTATCTAAATGCATTCCAGTGTTTATTGCTGCCATCTTCCATGGGTTGAATCCAGATTTTAGATAGATAGATAAATTTATTGTCATTGTCCGTATATACACAGTATACACAACAACGAAAATCAAACACCCACCCAAAGACCGGGTTCACATACACATTTGCACGTATCTCCAACACTCTCATCCTATTCAGACATAATCTATAAAAACATAACATAATCCAGAATATAACATAACCTATTAAAGGCATAACATAACCTAAAACCTATCTCATTCCTTCCTACTCCCTGCTTGCTATTCCTTGCAACTGGCCCTGAGATCATTATTTAGTGCAATCAGAGCTCTTGGATAGAAACTATTCAGAAGGCGTGTGGTTCGTGTTTTCATTGTCCTGTATCTTCTGCCCGAAGGCAACAGTTCAAAGAAGTTGTGAGCAGGATGGGTGGGATCTCTCAGGATATTGTGTGACTTCTTCAAAGTGCGAGACGTGAAGATCTCATCCAGGGTTGGTAGTTGGAGCCCAATAACATTCTGGGCAATTTTAATTATTCTCTGTAAAGCTTTTTTATCCGTTTCAGAGCTGCTCCCATACCACGATAATATACTATAGGTTAAGACACTCTCGATGGTACTGTGATAATAGGACAGAAGTAGGTGCTGAGATAGATTCAGTCCCCTGAGCATTCTCAGGAAATACAACCTCCCCTGCACCTTCCTCACAACCATATTAATATTTGCAGTCCATGAGAGGTCCTCAGAGATATAAATGCCCAGGTATTTAAAACTACCAACCCTCTCCACCTCCTCGCCATTTATGTGCAATGGTAAAAATACACTTTTCTTTCTCCTAAAGTCAATTATGAGTTCTTTGGGTTTTTTGGTGTTAAGCATAAGATTGTTTTCTTTACACCATTGAATTAACCCCTGTACTTCTTTCCTATAAGCAGTCTCATCGTTCTCACTAACGAGCCCCACCACTGTTGTATCATCCGCAAATTTGATGATTGTGTTGGACTTATACAGTGGGGTGCAATCAGATGTGTACAGGGAATAGAGAAAGGGACTTAGCACACATCCCTGAGGGGCTCCTGTGCTTAATACTAGAGTAGAAGAATAGTAAGGTCCCATTCTCACTGTCTGCGGCCTATCAGTCAGGAAATTCCTTACCCACAGACAGATCTTCTGATGTATACCCAAATTGGTCATTTTAAGAAATAACCTGTCTGGCAGAATTGTATTGAAGGCAGAACTGTAGTCCACAAACAACAGCCTTGCGTAGGTTCCCTGTCGTTCTAGATGACTCAATACAGTATGGACAGCGATGGAAATAGCATCATCAGTAGATCTGTTTCTTCTGTATGCAAACTGGAACGGGTCTAGAGTGGATGGAAGACCAGCCTTAATATGATCTAGCACCAATCTCTCAAAACATTTCATAACGACAGATGTTAGGGCTATTGGTTCATGATTAGAGCAGACCCATTGATACCAATGTGACTTAGTACTGTTTAACATGTGTCCCATTGATTTTAACTCTGGTTGATTTCAATGGAAAACATAACTAAGCCTGGATCCATCCCTTTCTTTACTTTTGTATGGTTTAAACCAGAAACAATGTGCGAGTCCTTCTTTCCATTTATTTATATGACTTACACTCCACCCTTTCAAGCACAGACTGGAGATGGCATACATAGTCTTAGAAGTTAGAATCTGCATTCTGTACACACCTGCACATAGAATAAATACCTAGAATGCTTGATCAACTAGCAATGGAGTGTACTTAGCCTTGCCAGATCTTGCATAGCAGCAATGTGCCTGTGTGTCTGGAGCAGACATCCCCAACCTTCGGCCTTCCAGATGTTTTGGCCTACAACTCCCATGAGCCCTAGTTAACAGGACCAGTGGTCAAGGATGATGGGAATTGTAGTCCAAAACATCTGGAGGGCCGAAGGTTGGAGGTGCCTGATCTGGAGCTTTCAGGTGTAACTGGCAGGAAACATTGCCACCCAACCTTGCAGGTTGTCTGTGGGTCTTGGGTTCATATTTCTGTATGGATATTAATGAAGTCAGTTGCTGTGTTAGAACTATTTATAGCTTAAAAAATGATAGGCCTATCATTTACAAATATTTGATTGGGTGATTGCCAGGGACTGGACTTCAAGTGAGAGGCAGTACAGCTGTGGAATTTTCTCCCCAGGGAGCTCTCTTGCTCTCTTTCCATTTCTCATGGGGGGTGTTGCATACATTTTTTGACTCCTGAAGGCATTTTATGACAATTTTGTGCCATTTCAAAAGACTGCTTTTAAGGTTGCTGTGTTTTATAATTGTTTTATGTTCTGTCTATCTTTGTGCTTTATTACTGTAATTTATTATCTGGAGACTGTTGTGGAAATTGAAAAGGGGGATCTGAATAAAGTAATTAAATATAAAGTAGCAGGTCTTCCCTCAAACATGGAGAGTTAATTAAATTTAGGAACTTGGAAGAGTGCCAAAGGTTTGTGTGCTTTCTCCTCCCCCTCCCAGCTTACGGTTCCCTTCTCTATATCCTGACTTTCTCTAGCCACAGATTGTCATGACATACACATTTACAAGCTAGAGTTTGCCAATTTGGACATTATGACGAACTGTGTTTTAAGAAAACCAGGAAGTAGAGAACAGAACACTCAAACAAAAGTGGAAGAGAGAGCACATTGAGCCACATTATGTACCTGAGCCTTGAAACCATCTTTCAGAGGATTGTTTTATGAAGTCTGAACTATGCAACTGTCTTTAGGTAGGATATATGTTATGGTTTTCTTTTTCGTTATATATAAATATAATTGTAACATTAATGTATGCACTATCTGTATCCTTTGGGAGACAGTGGAGGTGCTGTGTCAGAATCCAGCTAATGCTTTTTCAAATTGCTCTCCATCCACAATCAGAATTTCATGCTTTTTGTGACTCCCATGTCCTCTGGTAAGCTGTGATGAGGTGTGATGAGAGAGGTGTGATGAGAAAGTTAGATTAAATGTCTGCTGTAGTAATATCACTGTTCATATTTATTTCTAAAATAAGATTCAGAAGTTGTAAATATCCTGGCTTGCTTTTGATCCAGTTTTGCCTTAGAGAATTCCCTGTATTTACTATGGTGAGCATTTTTCTTAGTCATAACTCAAGTGAAACCCTCTTTGTCCCACAGTGCATGAGAGCTGCTGGTAGCAACTAGAAGACAAAAAGTCTCCAGGCAGCAGGAGTGTAGGACATGTGCCCATCATCCCTGGCCATTGATCATGCTGGAGGGCTGCATATACCCTTTACCTGGCATAATTAAAACCAGAAGAGCAACAGTGGGAGTCGGAACAACAATCGCGTTCCATATTTTATTATACTGCACAAACTAAAAATGGACTTGTATTGCAGTAATTTCTTGTGTAGGCAGATCGGGGGGGGGGGTGTATTCCGTTTCTGCCTAGCCCATAAGTTTAATTTTAATTCTTATTTGTATTCTATCTTTGTACATTTCTGCCTTTTTGCAACCTATACCACGAAGGCAGGTGACAGATGAAGTGAAGGCTTGGTGTGCTTGCATGCTTTTAGAAATAGAACACCAAGGATGCCTGCTGAAGTATCCAGCAGACAGGCTCTGTTATGAACTCTGTGGGATTCTCTTTCATCAGAGGAAAAGTCAATATAGAAGGGCAGGGAGAACTTTCTCATTGTACTTGATAGATGCTGAACAATGGAAGCTCGGATTTCTTCTTTTCTTGAAGCCTGCCACTGAATTATTGTAGAAAGTATATCCTGTAGATGAGAAATGAAAAATGTATCTGTTTCTCATTAGCTACAGAGGCTCAAATAAATAATATTACAGTGGTACCTCAGGTTAAGTACTTAATTCGTTCCGGAGATCTGTACTTAACCTGAAACTGTTCTTAACCTGAAGCACCACTTTAGCTAATGGGGCCTCCTCCTGCTGCTGCTGCACCGCCGGAGCCCGATTTCTGTTCTCATCCTGAAGCAAAGTTCTTAACCTGAAGCACTATGTCTGGGTTAGCGGAGTCTGTAACCTGAAGCGTATGTAACCTGAAGCGTATGTAACCTGAGGTACCACTGTAGTGGGAAGGAGATGTATGGAATCAGATATATTCAGTACTTTTATAATACTTATTAAAAAGGTAAAGGTACCCCTGCCCGTACGGGCCAGTCTTGACAGACTCTAGGGTTGTGCGCCCATCTCATCAAGAGGCCGGGGGCCAGCGCTGTCCGGAGACACTTCCGGGTCACGTGGCCAGTGTGACATCGCTGCTCTGGCGAGCCAGAGCCGCACACGGAAACGCCATTTACCTTCCCGCTAGTAAGCGGTCCCTATTTATCTACTTGCACCTGGGAGTGCTTTCGAACTGCTAGGTTGGCAGGCGCTGGGACCGAGCAACAGGAGCGCACCCCGCCGTGGGGATTCGAACCGCCGACCTTCTGATCGGCAAGCCCTAGGCGCTGAGGCTTTTACCCACAGCGCCACCCACGTCCCGTTTATAATACTTATTAGAGGTTGGCAAATCATCTTTAGTCATCCAAATAATCTTATTTATTTATTTTGTTTTGGAAATGTATAAAAAATTTGCTTTAAAAAAAGTTCTCCTAGTTGTATACAGTTATATTTAAAAGTAGACTAAAATGCACAAATTGGTTAAAAACAAATATGCATAAATATAATTTGAAAACATACATAAACGTCAGTAAAACATTTGCAACAAACGTAACCAACTCATGTGTCTTGATAAGTCCACTCAAACAGAAACAGTGTCTAAAACAGTGTTGTGAAGGCGCCTCACCTGATGTCAATAGGCAAGGAGTTCCAGAGCCCCAGGGGCTGCCACGCTAAAGGAGCAATTCCTTGCAAATGTTCAACAAACATTGTGTAGCACTTATAAGAATGCAAGCTCCACAGACTGTGGTGGTTGAATAGGCACATACAGGGTGAGGTAGTTCCATAAGCAAACTGATCCTAAGTCATTAAGGACTTTATATACCAATAGTAACAGCTTGTGCTTTGCCCGGTAATGAATCGGCAGCCAGTGCACATTTTTGAGCACAGATGTAATATGCCGACAGACTTCTGCTCCTATTAGCAATCACGTTGTAGAATTTTGCACTACCTGGAGTTTCAGGACCAAGTGCAAGGGAAGCCCCAGATAAGAGTGTGTTGAAGTAATTCAGTCTTCAGGTTACAAATGCTTGGGAGTTCTGGGCTCATGCTATTCCAATCCAGGAACAGTCACAGCTGTTGTAGCAGCCAGAGCCGGTGAAAGGTGATCCTAGCTACCAAAAGCCACTTGGACCTTCAGTGACAAAGCTGGATCCAGCAGCACCCCAGTTGTCATAGTGGCTCTTTCAGAGGGAGCACAACCACGTCTACAGTAGCAATCATTCAGTTTCCCAGACATGAGAACCACTCACCCACAGAGCCTCTGTTTTGACAAGATTCAAGCTCAGTTCGTTTCCCCTCATTTATCCCAATACTGCATCCAGGCTCTAGTCCAGGAGCAGTACAGCTTCTCCCAATTCAGATATTATGGAGAAATAGAGCTAAATTTCAGTAGTGTCCCTTTCCCCATTTTACAGCTTTTAATGTGCAATACAGTACCATATAGCACAGCATGGGAAGGCCTCATTCAGGTGGGGGGGGGGAATGTTCCTCCTGTCCTTCCGCTGCTCCTAAAACTCTTCTCTCCATCCATGAAGCCTCAACAGAACTCCAAGGATCCTGTTTCAGGATGGAGCCTTGAAAAGGATATTTTTCCTTCTTGTTATTGCCCTTAATCTTAAATTCAGAGCTTCGTGATAATGCCCAGTGTAAGGAATGTTGAAAATGCTGGCCTTCCCGATAAGCAGCTGGGGATTTTAGTTTATTATTATTTTTTAAAGTGGCGCTGTTAGTTGAACACAGCTTCCATCTTAAGTTTGTATTAGACCAGCTTTCCTGAGCTAAGTGCCTTATAGTTGCCTTACTGTTGTTTAGAGACATTTCAAAGAAAGTAAAAGGGATGTAGCAGGATTATTGGGGGGGGGGGCTAAATCATCCATATTGGAAATTTAGCATGCAGTGCCCACACCCTAGTTTCCAAACCTTTTCTGCAGACTGGCCTGCCAATAAGTTCAGTAACCAGCAAACTGTTTGCTAACAGTTGATGCCTCTTATGCTGCATTTCTCTATGAATGCACTGCTGGTTTGGCTTAGAAGCTGCAAAATTATCAAAGCCATTAGTGTGGCATTCTTCGCCATCCCCCATTACTTAGTCAACTAACATAGGTTATTTTGGGAAAATGCTTGTGCAATCTGTACTGTGGCTTCCTAATCACATTTATTGGGCAATCTTCAAAACTGTTTCGTTGTTTTGTGCTCTTATTTCTACAGATACAGTGCCCAACCTGCCAATTGGTGTGGTGTTTTAAGTGCCACTCTCCCTGGCATGAAGGTGTCAACTGCAAAGAGTATAAAAAGGGAGACAAGCTGTTACGTCACTGGGCCAATGAAATTGAACATGGGCAAAGAAATGCTCAGAAGTGTCCAAAGTGCAAGGTAAGAGAGTGCATACTAAGTTACGTTTCTGTTTGGTGCACAGATATTCTGTGAAGTTTTCCAAACTGAGATGCCTTAGTGAAATTCATGCTCGTCAAGTTAAGTGTCATCAGTTCTGTTAGATTCAGAATAACTTGATCCCTGTCATCTGCTGACATTGCTGCTCTTTTACAAAAGTGCTTATCTGTCACCCTATTTATGTTTGTGGTAGCTGAACTGCTGAGTTTCGGAGCGCTTAACATTGCTGGTCTGCAGAAAAAGAAAGAAAGAACTCAAGCCTTTCAATACAAGTTAATGAATGTGTTTGATATTTATGGAATGGCACTTTCACAAGAAGCAAGATTCCAGGAAATCCTGTTGCACCATTCTGCACAAGGAACTAATAGTGCAGAATTGGAGAAAAGGAACAAGTGAACATTATGCTGATGCAGTTTAACCTGGCAATGACTGACCTGGAAAGGGATCCTGGGGATGGGGTGGATAGCTCAATGAAAATGTCAACCTGTATGAAGCTGTTATTGGGATTATTAGGAAAGGAATTAAAAATAAAACTGCCAATATAATAATACATTTGTAATACAGTTGTGGTCACTGCACCAAAAAAAGAAAGAAAGAATATTTTTCAGCTGCAAAAGGTGCAGGAAAAGACAACCAAAGTGATCAAGGAACAGCTCTTCTTTGAGAAAAGATTACATTGTGTGAGGCTTTTTAATTAGTCAAGGGGTAGGCATGTAAGTAAGGGGAGACATGATAGAGGTATGTCACATTATGCAGTGTGGAGAAAGGGTGAAATCTCTCTCTTCTATATAACACTGGAACCTGGAGTGTTGTGAGTAGACTCTTAAATCCCATCTCTAACATAAAACCTGGTCTAATATATAATGCCAATATATATACCTTAAAAATATGAAATCAGTAAAGTTTGTATCTTTCTTTCATAGTAGCCTGTTTGATATAGCACAGGTGTGAGATTGACCAACAATTGAGACAACACTTTAAAAAGTAACATAATAACATTTATTATAGGAATTAATATGTGTACAAATGAGATTAATTTAAACGTCACAATATAATGTGAGGTTACAAGTATGAAGGTTATTTCTGCCATAAAGTTGATATTGTTGATATTGTTACTAAGGAATGCAGGATTCACTTTTGTCAAAATAAATCCCTGCTTATATCCAGGGTCTAGTTATCTCTGTCATTTAAAAGTGTTGTTTTTTGGATTGAAGTCTTCACACAGATCCAGCCCTCACTCTTTTACTTATTGACTTGATGGATTTTCAGCTGCAATAAGGATTTATTTATGGCCAGGAACACCACTGTGGCTTTAGGTTGCCAGTTGCTTGCTGGCTTGCTGAAGTCTTTCACATTCCTTAAGCACAAAACTTCTCAAACTGTCTATCACCAGCTGCTGTCTTCTGTTACTTCCCCTTCAAGAGTTTCTTCAGGCTATGAATCTTCCTCTCAGGCTTAGCCTTTTCCCCTTCGACATTGATTCTTCTCTGCCTGCTCTCCCTGCATTCTTTAGTTTGCGCTTCCTTTCTCAGGCTCTTTTCTGCCTGATTTGAGCTCCAACTGACCCTCTTGATAGTTCTTTGCCTGGTGTTTTGGTCTTCTGGTCACAGATACTCCCTTCTATTGAGTATGTTTTTAAAGTGACCCTCAGATTACCATTCTAATGCTCCTGATCAGTATAGATACCAATTACTTCTAGTTCTGCTAACTGCCAAATATGCATCCACCCTTAGCAAATGTAACCAAGGCTTTTGTTAGCTGCCAGGCCTCCATTTGCAGAGGTTTAAGTCAGGCCTCATCAGGTACAGCTTTACCTCATGTTTCATTTCAGGCTGAAGTATTTAATCATAGTACAACTCTTAATTCTAAACATCTTATCATTTTACCTTAAGTAATAATTAATAAATAATAAATAATAAATAATAAATAATAAATAATAAATAATAAATAATAAATAATAATAAGCGGGACGCGGGTGGCGCTGTGGGTAAAAGCCTCAGCGCCTAGGGCTTGCCGATCGAAAGGTCGGCGGTTCGAATCCCCGCGGCGGGGTGCGCTCCCGTTGCTTGGTCCCAGCGCCTGCCAACCTAGCAGTTCGAAAGCACCCCCGGGTGCAAGTAGATAAATAGGGACCGCTTTCTAGCGGGAAGGTAAACGGCGTTTCCGTGTGCGGCTCTGGCTCGCCAGAGCAGCAATGTCACGCTGGCCACGTGACCCGGAAGTGTCTCCGGACAGCGCTGGCCCCTGGCTTCTTGAGTGAGTGGGCGCACAACCCCAGAGTCTGTCAAGACTGGCCCGTACGGGCAGGGGTACCTTTACCTTTACCTTAATAATAAATAGTTAATAGTGTTTTGTTTTGTTTTTTTAAAAAATGGCTCATCCAATGACGGTAAATGATAGGATACACAAAAGGAAGTACCATATTTTTTGCTCTATAAGACTCACTTTTTCCCTCCTAAAAAGTAAGGGGAAATGTGTGTGCATCTTATGGAGCGAATGCAGGCTGCGCAGCTATCCCAGAAGCCAGAACAGCAAGAGGGATTGCTGCATTCACTGCGCAGAGATCCCTCTTGCTGTTCTGGCTTCTGAGATTCAGAATATTTTTTTTCTTGTTTTCCTCCTCCAAAAACTAGGTGCGTCTTGTGGTCTGGTGCGTCTTATAGAGCAGCAGCTACAGAATTCACTACCACAGGATGTAGTGATGTCCAACCATTCAGGCCACTTTAAAAGAGGGCAAGACAATAAAAAGGCTATCAGTGGCTACTACTCATGATGGTTATATTGCCTCAGGTATTGGAGGCAATATGTCTCTGTGTTCCAGTTGCTGGGGAGCACAGCCTGGAGTACACTTAGACCTGTGTCCTGTTGGTGGTTTTTTCATAGGCATTTAGCTGGCCAGTGTGGGAACCAAATATTGAACTAGCTAGGCCTTTAGTCTGATCCAGCAGGGCCACCCTTGTGTTACTATGGGCTTCAGCTGATGCTGAATGGTTGTGACCGCAGCCTTCATCCCAAGCTTGGAGTTGGGGAAGGGTCGGGGATCACTGCCAGTTTGATTCCCACACATCTCTTCAGCTTTAAAGTTTGGAGAAAAGCTTAATATGCCTGCCAGAGGGGGAATGCTACACTGTTGATGGCATGCATTGGTGTATAAGATTGATAAAGCCTTTCTCTTAGTCATTACTCTAAACCATATCTCATTTACCTTTGACACATTTCAGATAAGAATTTATTTGGCAGATTGACATACAGGATGTAACTGGTTTTGGGTTGGTTTTTGTTTGTTTCTCTTGGTGCTCATGTTTTTAAGTAATACAGATTTCTTTTACCTCCTTGCCCTTACTTGGCTGAACTTTTCTATATATAGGAGAAAGCAAAAAGACCAAATTGGCTTGCCCCTTGAAGGTATGGGGCAGGATGATATCTAGAAGTTGTCTTGTGTAAGTCCTGTTGAAATGAATGGAAACTGCACAAGGGTGCTTAGATGGATTATGCCTGTAGTAGATAGAAAGGCTTTTGGTCCCTTGCAGTTCCAATTCTGTGGTAGATGAAGCTATATGAACAATGTGGAATACGCATAGAAAGGAATGACAGCTGCTGTGGACAAATGCCAACTTTTGTTTTATGTTAATGCTACAGCATTAACTCTTCCTTTGTACTATGTGATTCCTATTAGACAGGTTGCATAGCTCAGCAGTGGCATTATGGCAAATGATGTGACACAACAGCTGAAACAGTATTATTGTATTTCTCTAAAAGGATAGCCTGCAAAGATCTTGAAGTACCTTTTTCATATCGGTGTTCACAAATCTCTTTCATGTGCTGATGCCTGCGTGTTGTTTTTACAACTTTATTTTTTCCTGCCACTTAGTAAATAGTAAACTTGTGACAACTTACACAGAAAAGAATATAGGTTTACAGTGAGACATTTTCCAGTTCATTTCTCGTGTTTAAAATCTTGTGGCAAATATCTGATTAAGAGAGCTTGATAGCAAGCCTGAGAAAAATCTGCACTGAGGACTTTTGAAGTGCTAGTCAATAATGGTGAATGGAATTTTTGTTTGATCACAGCTTTATCTACTTTGCTGTCAAATTCTCTTTGGGTGAGATCTAACATCATGCCAGCAGATGTAGTAGGAATTCTCCCTTCATCTCCTCTGCTCTGCAGCTCCCTGTTTGCCACAGTCTTCTCCAGAGGACCCTCCAATCCTAAAGAGCAGGTGCAGAGGCTGCATGGGAAAGAAAACAGGATCATGCCCTATTTCCACAAGAGGAATTGTGTTGCATCTCATTAACTATGTTTCAAAACTAGTCAACTGAAACAACTGTATTATTTTCATGCTGATAGATCAACCACTCCACATTTTTGTTTCTGGATACTTTACATAAAAAAATAAAATGAGTTAATACTCATACCACTCCCTTCATAGCTTTGCAAATGTGCTAGTAGTTTTATTGCCGCACTTCTAGTTTGTTTTGAGGAATTTGTGCAAATCCCTGAAGCTAAGAGGTTTATTAAATTAATGTTGTTAAAGTTAGGGTAGATAATTTTGAAAAGGAGGTGGCTGTGTGAATAGTATTTGGAGCAGCTAATTGAGAAAATAGATTTAAATGTCTTTTTAACCAAATAATAGCACTAAAATGGTGAGCACCTGATTGCTCCGCACTCTGAAGAAGCAAGCAAAGGAGTCAAACGGCTGTTGATAGTCACTTTGAATGGAGTCCAGAATCCCTCTGGAGGAATGAGGAATATTTTATATAATAACACTGTAAATTGCATTAAATAATTGAGCTTTATGTGCAGTACATGAATTTATATCAGACTTGTACACTAAGGGTTATAAAATGCTAGGGTAGTGAGGAATGGTGAATATTTCTACCAACTGGTTCTGCTTGTTTTCACAAAACTGCATTCTCACTGTTCAAAAAGGAAGTAGGGTATGTTTTGGAACACTTTGTTCTGATATGAAACTGACGTTTTGGATTTGCAGCATTGCTTTCATGTACATTCCTTGTGTTTACTGTGAGTATGCAAATCTTCAAGGCTATTGTGATTCCCAAAGATGAGAGATTATAAATCTCTCCTTGGGAACAGCTGTCCTAAATTACTATACCACTTCTATTTACTTAGCTAACTACTTGCCTAGTGCTTGTATAATACCAAGGGAACATATTTTTTTATTTGCAAGGCAACTTTTGTGTGGTTTCCCCCCATCTCAGGGCCTGGCTTCATACTTCTGAATTGTAGGATATTAAATGGGAGGCAAAGGAAGTTCAGGATGATTTATGGCAGACGATTATCTAGTTCGTTAATACAAACTGTAAATCTTGTCCTCATTATATTAGCCTTGGCTGATCTGCTTTTTACTGTTCATTCTGCTCATACAGTTCTGTGAGTCTCAAGTGCAATTTTACCTTTTTATTACCAAGATGCTCTTCTTTGAGAAGCCAGCTTCTATGAGAGCCAGTGTGGTGTAGTGGTTAAGAGCGGTAGACTCGTAATCTGGGGAACCGGGTTCGCTTCCCCGCTCCGCTCCTCCACATGCAGCTGCTGGGTGACCTTGAGCTAGTCACACTTCTATGAAGTCTCTCAGCCCCACTCACTTCACAGAGTGCTTGTTGTGGGGGAGGAAGGGAAAGGAGAATGTTAGCCACTTTGAGACTCCTTGTAAAGGTAAAGGTACCCCTGCCCGTACGGGCCAGTCTTGACAGACTCTAGGGTTGTGCGCCCATCTCACTCAAGAGGCCGGGGCCAGCGCTGTCCGGAGACACTTCCGGGTCACGTGGCCAGCGTGACAAGCTGCATCTGGCAAGCCAGTGCAGCACATGGAAACGCTGTTTACCTTCCCGCTAGAAAGCGGTCCCTATTTATCTACTTGCACCCGGGGGTGCTTTCGAACTGCTAGGATGGCAGGCGCTGGGACCGAGCAACGGGAGCGCACCCCGCCGTGGGGATTCGAACAGCCGACCTTCTGATCATCAAGTCCTAGGCACTGAGGCTTTTACCCACAGCGCCACCCGCGTCCCTAAGGTTGAGACTCCTTAGGGTAGTGATAAAGCGGGATATCAAATCCAAACTCCTCCTCCTCCTCCTCCTCTTCTTCTTCTTCTACCATAACACACTATGCAAAGCAGTGCAGGAGGCAAAACGAATTCCGTGTCTGTTTTTATGTGGTTTCTTCATTTGAGATCTGACAAATGAGCATCTTTACTACACCCTGCTGTTCAGTGGATTGCTCAACTCTGCTTCAGATTCTGACAAAGTACTTTTGAGATCTTAAGATTTTGTGGCTATTCCAAGGGAACGAAGGATCTGTTAACTTGAGCAGAAAGAGATGGTTGTTATGTTCCTGGATCAGGCTGTTAATTGTATCATCTAAACGGACTATGGTTACTTGCTTCTTTGGAGTCATGATTTCTGGTTGCCAATGAACTTTATTAGGCCAGTGTGAAAAGCTGAGATAAGTGGCGGTTGCCTCCCCTTACTCAAATTTCCAGCAAGTTCCTTATTGTCCAATCTGTTCTTTCCAACCTGAAACCTTTTATCTCTTAGTAGCAACTGGAGGTGAGCTAAGATAATATGCCTAAGAGTTGGATTTGGGCTAGGAACTGACAGTTGCTCTCTTTGTGCTCCTATCTTTTTAATTGTTGGCATATTTTAACTATTTTCAATGTCACGTAGCCTTCATCATAGGGAACAGTCCCCATCATCTAGCAATCGAAGCTTTACATGTCACGTCCAGAGCTCTTTCCGCATGCAACAATAGGGGCAGACGAAACAGTCCCAAGTTTTCATCTTAATTAGCGGCAATCGAACGCTGGGTTTACAGGCCACCTCCCAATTTACATGGGGGTTACATTCTAAGGCACCACACGTTTCAGTGATATAGCATATATCTGAAACACAATTGAAAAAGCCTGCAAACACCCCATTCCACCCCTGCCCCATTCTGCCCCTTTTTGTGATGTTTTTGGGTCACTTCTGGATTTGGCGTGATGTGCACTGTCGCGATCATGCACATATCAGATGTGACTAACGATCGCTGCCTGTATAAATACTTAAGTGATCTTCTGATCTCCTGCCCTAAACCTCAGGCAGTTCTTCTGGGGCTTTTCTCTAGAGTAACAATTTTCTAAATGGGCTAGAAAGTGCCTTTCAAGCACAGGCCAGACCCAAACTTGCTTAGTTTCAGCAAGATGCTGGGCTTGTACCACATGGGGACCAAAACAAGACAGAAAGCACCCCAGAAAAGATGAAGAGTTCTTCCATTAGCTTTCAGCATTTCCAGTCATCACAAGCGAAACCGAACCTGCCATAGTGCATGTTACATTGATTGTGATTTTTTTATTAAAAAAATACATGCTTCAGATTTTTGATCTACTCATTAAAGTAAAAATAAAATGCACAGAATACTCATTAAAGTAAAAATAAAATGCAGAGGATACTGAAAAGTCTTGAGAGTTTCTGCATATGAACTAGAGATACACATGGAATTTGCTGAAGGTTAAAAAAACTAGGAAGACATACATGTAATACAGAAAAAAGTTAAATATAAAATGTAGCATACGTTTTGTGTTACTATACACTGCCTTTAATTTTATGGAAATGCATGATACACATTTTTAAATAAATCAAGATTATATTTGCAGCTTTAGTTTTCATGTATTCAGTCTTATGCATGGTGTGATATCTTTGGTGAAACTATTGTGGAGGTGAGCCAGATATCATGGTGACTCTTGGGGCTAAGAAAACATCGAGGTGACAAAGAATTGGTGGAAAGGAAGACTCATTCTTATAGTACCCTCTGCTTGCCCTTGTGACAGCACTATTCGTGCCATAATAAATGGACTGTTTATTAATGCATTTGTAACAGAACAAATGCTTGCAGGTAGAGAGAAGGCATGTCATATATAAATAGTATTGGATCACAGGGCATAAGACAAGAAGTATGCAGTAAGAGGGGGTTTTTAAAAAAAATTACAGTAATGTGTTGCAATATTCTCAAACTTATTCAGAGAATTGTTTCTAAGTACTGGATAACACTACAATAAAAATGCAGTAATATGAGCTGAAGATGCAATGAAAAAGATTTTAAGAGAAATTCCATGGGCTTCTGTTGATGCTGTTGAATGATGGAATAGAATTTTAAAGGCAGTATATAATGTATAATGGAAATGTATTGATGAACGCAAATGTACATGGATCTTAAAGTAGGTTCATGAACATGAAGGGAATTAAAGCTGTAGAATGCTACTCATTTTCTTCTGCTATCCTACACTTAACAGAGAGTAGATCCTACGGAACTTGAAGGGACTTAATTTTGAACAGCAATGCAAAAGACTGTAGCACACAAACAAAGAATTTGTAAAATGTACCCTTAATTCCTGCAGCCTCAAGCCAGATCCTGCCAATGTGAAGTCTCATCAATTTCTTACTCATAATATCTAACCCCCTGCAAAATCCACACAAATTCCTCTCCTGTTTTCTCTGTCTGTCCTCGCATCTCCTTTGTCTCCCATTCTGTTCAAATTTAGGGCAGAGATCGTCTTTTTGTTGTTATGTTGTAAGATAAATCAGTGGTGTTATACAAATATAAACACACAAAGATTACTTCTACTGAGCCAATGGTCCATCTTGAGCAGTCTTGTCTACTCTTACTGGCAGTGACTCTCCAAGGAAGTAGGCACATGCTATCAGATCTTCTACCAGATCTTCTCTACTGGAGATGCTTTGGACTGAACCAGGCTCTCCAGTGAGCTGCGTCCCTCTCTTGAAAAATGGTGCAGCTACCCTGTTCACTTGGGTAGGGTTTGTCTGGGAAATAACAGAACTCCTGAAGAATCCCAACAACTCTTAAATTATGGAAGCAAACATTAACAGTACCAAATGTAGTCTCAGGTTATTTAGTTTCTTTTAAATTGTTGTATTTGTTTGTGTATTAAAAGCAGATTACTTGAGCTTCTTAAATGCCACTGTCACAGTTTCTGAAAATGAGGCTGTTTTGCAATTTGAAGAGGTTCTACTAAGTCCATTAACAATAAGGCAGTAAACTTTTTTTCAGAGTTCCACCGTGTATGATTCTTTGTAAAACAATTGAATTGACTAAGAACCAACTTGTTTTAAAAAAAAATTTGAATAACCTTTTCTCTCTTTCTTTTCTGTTTTGCCTGTAAAGATCCATATCCAGAGAACAGAAGGGTGTGACCATATGACTTGCTCACAGTGTAACACTAATTTCTGTTACCGCTGCGGGGAGAGATACCGCCAACTCCGTTTCTTTGGAGACCATACATCAAACCTCAGTATATTTGGATGCAAATACCGCTACCTCCCCGAGCGACCACATTTAAGGAGATTAGTGAGAGGCTCTGTCTGTGGTGAGTGGATGATGACACTTTGCAAAGAAATGCTTGATGAATACATATGGCTAAACCAGTAAGAAATCCTTTTTAAAAAATAAACATGTAACAAATGAAGTCTAGTGAGTGGTGTAGCTTCTTGGGATGAAATTGAGTTGTTAGAGAAGACAAAATAGAAAACAATATTGTATATTGTGGCAGACAGCATGTGAAATCTGTAACAGTGAAAATTACATACCAAAATGTATTTGTTGTTCACAAACTTCATAATTTTCTGTACCTAGAGCACACACAGTCAATTGTGTAACGATGATTTGTACAGTGGTACCCCGCAAGACGAACGCCTCGCAAGACGGAAAACCCGCTAGATGAAAGGGTTTTCCGTTTTGGAGGCGCTTCGCAAAACGAATTTCCCTATGGGCTTGCTTCGCAAGACGAAAGCCCATAGGGAAATCTCCGGGGACCTCTTTTAAATGCTAGCGGTGGGGAGCAAAGCCTTCCCCCCCCTCCGGCCTTCAGAAGAGGTCCAGGAAGGCTGGCGGGGGCCAAAAGGCTTTGCTCCCCACCGCCAGCATTTTAAAAGCAGTCTGGGATAGCAGGGAAGCGCTTCCCGCTATCCCGGACGGCTTTTGAAGGCAGGAGAGGTCCGCGAAGCCTGGGCGCGCTGATCTCAGCGCGCGCAGGCTTCGGCATGCCGGCAACTCACCGCAAGCAGCGGCAGCGCTGCCGCTGCTTGCGGAGAGGTCCGCGAAGCCTTGGCCGGACAGCTTTTGAAGGCAGGCGGGGGGGAGCAAAGACTTTCGCCCCCGCCAGCCTTCAGAAGAGGTCCAGGACCTCTTCTGAAGGAGGGCGGGGGGCAAATGTCTTTGTCCCCCCTGCCTGCCTTCCTGGGAGAGCGGAGAAACGCAGCGCGTTTCTCCGCTCTTCCGGGAGGGCTTTTAAAGGCAGGCAGGGGGGACAAAGCCTTTCGCCCCCCGCCAGCCTTCAGAAGAGGTCCAGGACCTCTTCTGAAGGCTGGCGGGGGGCAAAAGTCTTTGTCCCCCCTGCCTGCCTTCCCAGGGGCTTTTAAATCGCCCCGGACAGCGGAGAAGTCCTCCGCTGTCCGGGGCGATTTTAAAATGCCGCCCGCCAGCATTTTAAGATCGCCCCGGACAGCGGAGAAGCCCTCCGCTGTCCCGGGGTTTTTTAAAATGCTGGGGGTGGGAAGAAAAGCCCTTGTCCCCCCCCCCCCAGCCTTCAGAAGAGGTCGGGGGACAGACTGTCCCCGGACCTGGTCTGAAGTCGGTTTCCCTAGGAACGCATTAATTGATTTTCAATGCATTCCTATGGGAAACCGTGCATCGCAAGACGAAAAACTCGCAAGAAGAAAAAACTTGCGGAACGAATTAATTTCGTCTTGCGAGGCACCACTGTACTTTGTATCTAGAATTTGCTTCAAGGCCTCTTAGCTTGCAATGGGAGCAAACCAGGTGTCCATTATTATTGAAGTAGACTATTACATTGAGCTGTCCTGTTTATGTGTAGCAGGAGGTTTAACAAACTGAAGGACATCATCCTCTTTCTATGCTCCTCCTGATGGAAACATGCAGATGGGGACAGATATACCCCTGTTTAAAGTCGTTTACAGACTGTCTTCTCTTGTATATTACTTACTACAAAGCTCAATGACTAAGCTCTTTAGTGACGAAACGTCTGATTACCGGAATGACGTCCGAGCACTGAACCACTGGTATAGCACAAGTGGACTATTTATTACTGCATTTGTAATTGTTCAGATAAAATCTATTGTGGAAAGAGAAGAAATGAGCACTGAACCACTGATATATTACAAGTGAACTCTTTATGTACTGCGTTAGCAGTTGTTTAAGATAAAACCTATTTGGGGGGTGAAATTATTTTTGTGATTTTTATGGCCGTTTATTGTTTGTTTACAGATAGTTACCATGGTGATATTACCTTGTGTCAATTGCAGTAGCCATTGTATCACCACCCTGTTTATTGTTTTATGTGTAGCATTAGCAGCCCAATGACTGGTGCTGCAGTGGTTGCACGGCTGGCATGCTAACTCTACATGCAAATGGACTGATTTCGATATAGTGTGTTCATACATGATAGGCAGTGTACATGGAATGATTTCAAGGAAATGTGCTATGCTAATAACTGCAATCAAGTCTGTTTTGGATCTCGTTTTTCTGTGCAAGTATATTACATCAAAAAAGAAACATCAGAACTGAGCGTGCTCAGTTAAGATCACTGTAAGCACTACATAGTTTCCTTAGTGAGTGGGAAAATCTCTATATTGTTTCTCAAATTCGAATTGTGCCTAATCTAAATGGAATCACAAGTTAGCTAGCTTGCCATCCTTTGAGCTTTGTGACTTCTTGTATCTCTCGACTGCATTTCTTATCTGGATAAGGCTGTGACACTGTTTTTTAGTTAAACTCTCAATATTTAAAAAGTGATTTTGAAAATAAGCAAAACCTCCCACTGATTTGCAGAATAATGTGGATTGGTTAGGATTACTTTGTGATGTGTGAAGAGTTTCCTGCATATGCTCAGGGACTTGTGCTTGGTTCCTAAAAGTTGCCAACCTGACTGGCTGCTATCTGTCCTGCTAACCCCGATCCTTAACTCTGTTCTGTTGGCAATGCTCTCTGCACAAGTTCTAAAAATACCATTCTTTACATAGTTCTAGTACTGAAAAGAGACTGCATCCTGGCACAAATTAAGTCCTCGACCAAAAACACAGTTATGGAAAAATATGTGGAAAAGTATAGAATGTTTAATTATATGAAAAATATTATCAGATAAAGATGTTTTTCAAAAATAAATCTTTAACATGCCAAATTATTGCAATATATTACAACATATCCTAAATGGATTTTGACACAGATATATTTAATAGTGGCATAATACAACGGGGGGAAACTAAGCATAACAGTCCAATAGACCTTGGCTCTTGCATATGGGACTTCAAAGGAGGAGGACAGAGATAATTAACTTCAAATTGAGTTTATTAGCAATCAACCTGGACAAACAATTATCAAAATAGTCATCAATGTTTCCAGGCCAAGAAATATAACCACCTTTCTACAGTATCAAAGCTTAGGGTAAGCATGAATAAGCTCTGTGTCAGAATGTGTTTGGCTTATGTTGCAATATATTGCAGTTATTTGACTTACTAGGGATTTATTGTTGAAGTATTTATGTGATCGTTAATTTACTGTAATAAAAATTCTGAACCTTTTTAAAAACACATTTAACACATTTTCCTGGACAATGTTTTTGGGTGACTAAGTTTTGTGTTAAGGATTATTTTTATCTTCATTTGTCTACAATTTAAGCCATGTCAAAGTCACTCTGTTACTTGATACTAAATACTGATTTCGATCTCTGCAAGATAAGAGGATATGGGTACCTGGAAATGTCAGTTCTGTAAAACCTTACTTTCAACACTTACTGTAAATAGGGGTTAGTTTGTCGTAAGTGATGGGGGAGGAAAACCTATTGGGAGGGAGGGAAGAGGAAGGCACTGTTCCTTTGATATTATTAACAAAATATTTTTCTCTTGGCAGTCCTACGGAGCACCAGAAAAAAATTTGTTCATGGTTGCTAAACTTCTGAGATTATAAGCTTTTTTTAAAACAGCCTTAAATTCCGGATTGGGTTTTTTTTGCGCTACCCTTTCACAGTAATCTCAGCTGTTTGAAGCCATATTGCAAAACAACATTTTTCCCTTCTGGATGCTAGAAAACAATTTAATAGGTGTCGTCATGGGTGTCCGCTGTGGGGGAAGTTCTCCCTCCTCATGCACTACAATCCACATATTCCAAGGTTTCATTTTTTAGAAACAGTAAGTTTCTAGAATTTGTAGATCCTGAGATATGAAGCAAATTGTGCAGGTGGTCTTCTTCGGGGTAGATGGGGATGACAAACTATCCTTTCGTTGTTTTACTTCCTTCTCCCTCCACCCACCTCAAAAATTCAGATGGATGCCATCCTTGCTCTGGATAACTCAGGTGTGGAGAAATGCTGTGTATATTTCTGTCTGTATTTTTGCTTTGAAAACTTATGCAAGCTCTGCTGATGTCAGAGTGTAACTGTCAAGATTCAAAGGCCATGTGTTGCAGGCTTGTACAGACGGCGACCATATTGTGTGGGTTTTACGTTCCTGGCTCGCACGTGTGTTCCTCCTCCACCCTGTTCCACCCCCATTCTGCCCTCTTCCAAATCCCAAAGGACCCATAAGCAGTTGCACGTCCATTGGATGTGCACAAAATAGTCCCCGCCTGTTGCTGCTTGGTGAGAGGTGCAGAAAAGGGAGGGAGAAACTATTGAGTTTAATATTTATCAACAGGATGTGAATCAGGTAAATTCATTGTGATTGGTCACAGAAAGAAAAAGACTAATTGACTTGAGTTCTAAGTCAGTGAAGAATGGGCAGTTAAAAATAGTTGGATGAGGAAGGTATGAGGCAAAGCCCAGAGAAAGCTGAAGACAAATGAACAGTTGAGGCCTGAATATTAATTTATTCACTCTGGCATGTTAACTTTGCTGGTGCAGGTCAGAAGAAGGGAGTTTGTGGCTGCACTAGGCTAAGAGGCTGCCCTGTGTAAAGGGCTTATCAGAGGAAGGTGTATGCCATGAAGTGTGTACATGTGCACAGGAAAGTGAGTGAGTTGTGTAATGTGAAAATGTTATAATGACTTTGCTTTTTTTTAAAAAAGCATATGTGTTGTGTTGTGGCCACCATGTATGTTTTTCCTGGTACCGGGGAATGCTCCCTGTCATTATGAGACAGCAAGAGCATCATTGTATGTAGTCAGCAAGCTTTTTAGGGTGCAGTGTGTAGAGGTTGGGTTATCTTTGCAAATAACAATACTAGTAGCTGCAGCAATGGTAATTACATTGGCTTTTCAATAAGCTGACACAGCAGCTCTTGGAAATGTTAACTCAATAAAACATATAATGAGTGTGCTGACTGCTGCATTACACAATTACTGATAGGTTAACAAAATTACTGATGGAAGCTACCATTCATGGACACAACGCTACTCCTTTTGTAGGAATAGAGGAGTTTATTGGAAGGTTATCAAACAAAAAAAATATTTTTACTCTGTGGTCCCTCTTCTGTAAACTATGATCCCCTGTCACCAGTGAACACAACACAGGAAAACAATGTTTTCAAAAGGCATCAGACAAATGGTGGGGCAAAACTCTTAATTTAGCCAGCATCTACCCAGCTGCTTGGGGAGGTAAGGGGCTGTTCCAAATTTGGACATTTTGGCAGGGATTGCAAATCCCATAGATTCCCTGGAAACAGGCAAAATACAGCTCTTTTAATTGTATTAAGTTGTTAAAGCAGCATCTGAATCCAATTAAGTGAATTAAGTAATCACTCACATGCTGCATTACTAATTGTGCACTTCATAACAAGCCATGGAATACATTTCCCCATATTTATAGGGATTTTTTCTCCCTTGGCATATAACTAATTTAACTGTTGCTTTCACTGCTAAGAGATTTAGCATGGCTAGAGTTGTAATGTATTATTATTTATTAGATTCACAAAGGTGCCCATCGATAAAAAGATTTCCTGGGTAGCTTACAAAAAAAATTGAAAACACAATATGCAATAATAATTAAAAATAGACAATTGCATAGAAGCAGCAATTCAGATTTTTTTAAAACAACAACAACACCCAGCTATAAAGATTGGATGGATATAAAGGTTTTAACAGGGCACCAAAAAGATCATAAAGAAGGCACCAGGTGTGTCTTTCTGGAGAGACTGATTCATAGGCGTCTGTATATCACTATATATTTAGTGAGCAAAGAGATGCCTTCAATATCTATGCTGAGGCTGCCTCAAATGGGCCAGTTGGGGACTTAATGGCATTCATGAGATGGTCTCAGTACAACACATGTAAGTGGCTAAGTAAACCCCTCTAAAGAACCAATATCCTTGCTCTTAAACTGGAAGCAGTTATAAACATCAGCATATTTTCATAAATGGAAATTTTAAATTGTTCTCTGTCACTCGGGGGGTTGGGGACACTTTAACTTTTGGATAGTCAAAACCAAACGTTTAGCATTAGTAACCAATGTAGGTAAGTAACCAACCAACCAACCAACCAATGTTCTCATAATATGCTATCAGAGGCTGTATACATTGATTTTGTGCCTATAGGGAACAGAGTGATGTTACTTGAAATCTCATGTTAACAATTTTTTTTCTTTCCTTTTTAGGTGGGAAGTTGCTTATTGCACCACTGATACTGGTTCTGGGACTGGTAATAGGAGCCATAGCTGTTATCATAGGTAAGAACAAAATGCTATAAATAGTATGAGGTAGCATTTTGAAGTAAGGAATATATCCATTTCAATGATAACTGTTGTCAGAGGGGCAATGAGCAGAAATGGGGCAATTTGTGGGAAACTGTTTGCAGGTAACTTGTGTACGTGGAGCTCCCGCTCATAGGATCCACTTTTATATTTTTCTTCTTACCTCAGCGTTCCCACCATAGCTCACCTCATTAAATAGCTCACCTCTAAACCTCTGATCCTTTTTGGAGAGAAGATCAGGGAGACAAGAGGGTGAGGAAGTCACCCTCCACCCAACACCTTCTGCAGGCAGATCTCTGGTTCCATCACAATTAAATACATTGTGCATAATGAAACCACCAGCAGCGGTTAAAACAATTCAGCAACAATCCAAACTAAAAATTTCAGAAGAGCATAATGTTTAAAATAAATTTCCACACCACAGATAACAGAGTTTTAAAAGCTGGTAGGAATTTTAGAAGATATTTATTATTATTTATTAAAGCACCCTCCATCCAAAGATAACAGAGCAGTTTACAATATAAAAAATACATACCATAATTACAAACAAAAACAAGCATTATTATTATTTACTAAGCATCAGAAAACCAGAAGACAACTGGCTGGTCTGCAGAAGGCCCTGTTTTGTGCTTGCCTGCCTCATGTATGGATAGAACAGTAAGCAGGCCCTGAAGCAGGTTTGTGTGAGAACAAATGGTTCCGTACATTTAACTGAGTATAGACAGATGGGTGAGGTTTTGCTGATTAGATACCTTAATATGCCTGAAATGTGCACACTACTCCCACATCTCTAGTCAATGCCTTACAATTATGGTTACAACAATCCACTTCAAAAGTGGAATTCCCTAAATAACCGTGGTGCAGATGTGCCCCAAAATATCCAATCCTACTTCCTTCCAGGTACCTTTGCCAGTGATTGGCGTAACATAACGTAGACATGTGTGATATCAGAGGCAGATTTGCTCCTTCAAATTTTGACCTTTTTGAGGCCACAATTCAGCAGCCTCCCCGCCTCTCATTTTTGGTTCTGCTCATTTCACTGCATCATAGTTGTGACCCAGTGTGGCAGAACTGGTCGTGCTGCCCTAAACACGCCTGTGGTGTTATGCCTCTGAAAGCATAAAATTATATTAAGCCTCTTGATTTCCTGGTGGTCAAGTGAAAAGAATTCATTGCTCTCACAGCTGCAGCCCATGTTCTATTCCCAGTCAGAGGGAAGTACAGTGGTGCCTCGCAAGACGAAATTAATTCGTTCCGCAAGTCTCTTCGTCTTGCGAGTTTTTCGTCTTGCGATGCACGGTTTCCCATAGGAATGCAAAAATCAATTAATGCGTTCCTATGGAAACCGCCTTCAGACCAGGTCCGGGGACAGTCTGTCCCCCGACCTCTTCTGAAGGCTGGGGGGGGAACAAGGGCTTTTCTTCCCACCCCCAGCATTTTAAAAAATGGCGGGCGGCATTTTAAAATCGCCCCGGGACAGCGGAGGACTTCTCCGCTGTCCGGGGCGATTTAAAAGCCCCTGGGAAGGCAGGCAGGGGGGACAAAGACTTCTTCTCTTCTGAAGACCTCTTCTGAAGTCTTTGCTCCCCCCCGCCTGCCTTCAAAAGCTGCGTTTCTCCGCTCTCCCGGGAAGGCAGGCAGGGGGGAACAAAGACTTTCGCCCCCCGCCGGCCTTCAGAAGGTGTTCCCTCCCCGCCGCCCGGCTTCGGAGCATCGTTCCGAAGCCGGGCGGCGGGAGGAGGTGTTCCCTCCCCGCCGCCCGGCTTCGGAGGAGGTCCGAGGACAGTGGGGAAGACGCGCTGCGCTTCCCCGCTGTCCCGGAGATTTCCCTATGGGCTGTCGTCTTGCGAAGCAAGCCCATAGGGAAATTCGTTTTGCGAAGCGCCTCCAAAACGGAAAACCCTTTCGTCTAGCGGGTTTTCCGTCTTGCGAGGCGTTCGTCTTGCGAGGCACCACTGTAGTGCTTTAGGACAAGTTATCTAGTCACAGAGCATCTGTTTTTCATGTAAAACATCCTAGATTCAGTCCCAGCATCTCGAGATAGGGGTGGAAAATCTTCTTTCAGAGAGCCTGGAGACCTGCCGCCAATAAATGTAGATACCAGTGAGCCAAACAGTCTGAGTCAGCATAAGGTAGCTTCCTGTGTCCTTATGTTTTGTGTTTGTAGAGTTTCATATATGCTGGAATTAAAAGATCAGCTAGGTTTTTTTAATTGCTTTGAGTTAGGCTTGAAAGAAAAGAGCAAGGACTATGTGAGATGCAGGAACATCCAGACAGCTTAGAACATTAAAGTTTTAGCTTACATTCACAAACTCTTTTGTTTTAAAATATTTTTCAGAACTGTATTTTCACATATTTTGTATAACATAATTAATTCGATTTTTGTTATTATTGATAAACCAACTAAAATCTCAACTACTTCAAATTATATGGCTGCTTTTGATGCAGAGTGACTGCTTCTTATATCCAATTTGAATGGGCATTCTGAAAAAAAGTTAGCACTAACAATATCATTGGAAATAAGGCAAATTCTATGTTTTCTGCCTTACAGTAGGCTTCTTCTCTCCACTTGGCTGATAGAAACCCAGGATGCATTTGTTTCTATTCAGTGAACTGTGTACAGTTGATATATATATATATATATATTAACATTCTATATTTTCCTTTGGTTTTGGCAGGTTTATTTGTGTTCCCTATCTATTGCCTTTGTAAAAAGAAGAGGAAAAGGCCACGAACAGAAATGCCCTGGTATGAGTGAGCCATTATATATCTGAAAGGAGGCAGTCCTGCAAGAATTATGGAAAACATGTGCAGCACACTGTGCTAGTTAACTATCCTGGCAGAAAATCCAGGGGCAACTGCCATATTTTGTCTGCACTGTACACTACTAAAGACAGACCAGATTGCTTCCCTGCTCTGCTACTTCAGACAAAATGGAGGCCTCTCAATTTTTAAAGGTGTTTTTTTTAATCACTCTCCCAAAAAATCAAGTTTACTTTGTTGGACAGCCTACATCTGCACTGTAGCTACACATCTACTGATTGGCCCACGAAAAGAGTATTTAATTTGGCAACCTCTTCCCCACCCCAAGTCACTGGCGTAACTCTCAGGTGGCCTTCCAGATGCTGTTTTCAGTGGACTTGTTTGTTTCAGAGGCTGGCTTCATACGTAGAAGTGGTTATTCTGTCTAACATCATTGGCATAATAACAGGTGCTGAATTCAGTAGCTCCTTATTTTGTATATGCAACTTTGCCCTAAATACTGAATCATGTGTGTGCTAATAGCTACTGTAGAACCTTATAGGGAATTTAGTGGGGAATTATTGGAACAGTATCTAGTCCAAATAAAACAACAGAGAGATTTGTCTTGGTTATTTGGGAGAGCATTGTGTCATTTTCAGTGTTTTTGACCTGTGCAAGTTGTTTAGCAAGGCTTAAAATGTTCACGCCATTAACTTCCATCAAATACACTGAATTAAGTTAGGTGTAAAAGCCTGCCTTTTATGGTTGCTTCTGGAGTCTGACTAAAGGCATTGTGGCACATATACACACTACAGACCAGAAGCATGTTCATATCTGAATATGCAACAGCAACTAAGAATGTGGCCAAAACCAAGGCAAATGCAAGAAAAGAAACAAAAAATGTAACTACTGGAGCATATTTCAGAATGCTTAGCACTATCTAGCTGGGGAAATAGCAATTTGTTCTGAAGCAGTCCAGAAGTACACTGTTTTTCTAGCCTGCACCAATACATGCCTAAAGTGAGTAGGCATTTTCTAGGTTTTTCCTAGGAAGATACATTCAGGACAGCTTCATAACACAAGGTCACTTAAGACACAGGATCTGTTTGTGTCCTTCTTACTGTTAGGCTCAGGTCTGGAGCAGTGCGCCAATGTAAATTATATGTCTGTCCTGGTTTGCCTGATTTCCATAGTTCTTCCCCAAAGGTTTGGGAGTATTATCAATATTAGGTGAACCACACACCAATTTGTAGGTGTATTAATCCAACCCACACATTAAATCATTTGTGTGGAGTTCGACATGTATATTTCCAAAGGTCCAGGCCTTCTTGCCTACTAAGAGAAAGGTCATTACTGAATTTATGAATTGTCCCATTTGTATTGCACATTAGCAGTTAAATTAAAATGTCACCTGTGAAGTGTTATGTGTTTTAAACAATGAATAAATTCAGTAAAAACTAGTGCTTTTTTTTTTTTTTAGTTCAGGATCAGGTACCTGACAGTCTTATTTATATGTTCTTTTTTTTTTTAACTTGATACTTTTTGTTGAACTCAACATGTGAGGGACGTGCAGCCCATTGATTTTAAAGTTGAGAATAAGGATAATTAAGGAAGGGCTTAAAGAAATTATACTGTCCTGTTACGTTAGCAAAAGAGAATATCAGAGAAAGGAAAACCATGCAAACAATCCATTATATAACGATGGACTGTATCGTAAGGTGCCTTTCTAAGCTCAGAAGAAGTCCTTTGGGGAATGGAAGGGCGCTTTGATTCAGCAAAAGTTCCCATTAACAGGAGGGAGAAAGTGAATTTTGCTTTTACCTTCCTGTCTCTGCAGTCCCTCTCACTATCTGCCATGCTGTTCTGGAGGCTGCTTATAGAATCCTAGGATCCAACCTAGACACAGAATTATAATCTGCTGAAGTTTCTTGTTATCTTCAAGGTTCTGTTACTCAACAGAGTAGTGAAGTATTTGAAAGTCCTATGTTCTGTTGTAAGGGCAATAGACTCCACAAAATATATAAAAAGGCAACATACAGTTATTTAGAGCACATTGTGCATTAAAATATTACAGCACTTCATTGCTTTAGGAGTTTGGTGATAGTACAAAATGCAACCCAGTGAATATGTATTAATTGCTGGACCATAAAGCCTCATCTGAAATTGGTAGTAGATGCTACTTATCTGGCAATATGTCTCTGCCTTATGTTTCATTTTCATGTGCTAGCATCAGTCATCTTGCAACTGAAAGTCTTTAACAATATCCAAATTTACCACCTTTTCATCCACTAAAATTAGATTGATTTTAGTGGATTATGAAACCTGGCTTACTAGAGAAATGAATTAGAATGCAAACATTTCAAAGAGAAATTATTTTTGGTAAATTAATATACACTATGCTGTTTCAAATATTTTGAGCTTGCTTAATGTTTCTCCTTTTTTGTGTTGTCTCAGAGTTGACTGCTGCCTTAAACTTTTTAAAAGATTGTATATGTTTACCTAGCCCCAAATTGCATTTTCTCAGGCCAAACTTGTGCATTTTCTTTGGTTTACTCAGGGATTTCAGTCCTTCATTAAAATGTCAAATACTCTTATGAAAAAAAGCTTTTCTAATATTTAGAAAACATTCAAACATATTAATTATATAATGAGATTTGGTGTTTGTAGTAGAGGATGCATTAAAGCAATCTTGAGGCCTCTGTTTGATTTTAACATAATTCATGTACTACTTGAGCTTTCTTCTGTGTTTGATTTTTGTTCTCTACTCGTTTGAAATATAGCCCTTACATGATCCGGGAATTTTCATGTGCAGCAGCAAGTTCTGTGCAAGAATCTTTCTGCTACAACTATTGGCTCTAGAGACAGGAAGTGCTCTCAAGTCTTGACAGAGATGGTCACTTGCTTGGAAATGACTGGTCTCTCTCACCACACATATATACATACACGTGATCAGCAAGGGATTTGAACCACCCTGGCCAACTATTATTTCATTAGCTTGTGAAGGATACAGGAATGCCACATGATATTTCTGGGTGGGTGCTTGTCTTGTCTAGACAATACTTTTGTGTCCACATGGGACCACATTCTGAAGCACTCTTGCTCATGAAAGCTTACTTTTGTAAGTGGGTGTAATCCCATAGGTGTTGCTCCATTGACAGAAGGCACGCTTCAGCAGAATGGGGAGGGAGGCAGTTCCTCCTCCACTGCTGATATATCTTGTCTTGAAATGGTTTATAATACTAAGATAAGTGAAAGTGAAAGGCATGTGTATATGTTATCTATATAAGGGTAATTTAAAGTTATTTATAGAAGCAACTCTTTCCCACAAAGATACAAAAATAGCTTCACGGACACAAAGGCATGACATTTTAATACTTAGATGAAACGTGTATCAATAAAACCCTATGGTTATGCAGATTTAGTTCACTGAGTATTTAAGTGTAACATCAAGATGTAGATTTTATATTCAGTTTTATATTAACTTGCCTTTTCCAAAAATGGAGCATTAGCTGTTATAATACAAGAAAGGAAGAGGGGCATCAAAATACTGGTTTGCTGACCCCTTTTGTAAGGCTATTTTCTTGAATAATTATCCCAAAGGGTTATTTTTTAATTTCCTTTAACAATACATAAACAAACATACTCATTTAGCAACCATTGGAATGACTGCTGATTCACTATGTCGTAAAACTTGGGTGAAATCATATTGTTTAAAAATCTGTTTTGCTGAACAGTTTCAGAAAGACTTCTGTGGTAAAACTGTTCAAGACATTCTTTGATTTGTTTTATGCAATTTGTATCCTGCTCTGTGATTATTATCTGTTGCTTTTAAATTGGAGTAACTTGATCTCAGTTACAGTGAAATATGTCCCTATGCCTCTGACCATAGCTCACTCACAGTAAGGGAATATTGCCTATTTTCTCTCTCTCCAATGCTTTAAAAGAAAAAAAAGTATAATATACCTTATCAGAATGAAAAAGAATTGAAATTGTCTGTTTGGGGACAGAACCTCCATTGCTTTTATTAGTTTAACAGTAAATACAAGACTGGATGATTTGTTCTAAAGTAGAGCATCTATAAAGTATTTTATTATCCAGATTGCTGCACACTGCATATTCCAGTTTCAGAAGGTTGACAATTTTTCAGTGTATTCAGACATTGCCAAGTAAAGATAGTTGTATTTGCAATGCAAGTAGGTGTAAACTATAGGTTGCAATAGATTGCCATTTTGGTCTTGACTACTGACATTCAGCCTGGAATTAATTTCAGTAAATAGGTAGCGGTTCTTTGGTTGTAAGAAATTTGTGCAATCCTTTCGGAAATGGGCACAGGAAAAATGCTTAGATATTGATTCTTACTATTAGCGCAATTTTTCTAAATCCTTTCAGGGTAATATTTTTTTATGCATTGGCTGCTTTAATAATGGGTGGTTGTAATCACTTTAAGAATGCTGTTTCTCACTGTGGTAAAATCTTTGCCAAGACATGCCATGAATTTATTTATAAGAAATATAATACCATATCTATCCCAGGGCAAAAGAAAACTCATCTTAGCTGAGCCAATATTTCTCATCTTCTTTTTTAAAAGAACAATTTTTCCACAAAGCTGCCCCAAAATTGTTAAAGTAATTCTGTGAGTACAAGTGAGGTGACCTTCTGTTTTAAATGATATACTTTTATGTTGGCCACTTTTCCTCGCATCCCAGACATTCCAGTCTAGCAAGGAAGATTCATGCCTGAAATAATGCTTCTATTTGTGTCTGGATGGGACCCCATACTGTCAAAAAATGCTGTGTGTGGAGACAAAGTTCTGGATTAAACCACACATGTGCATTCTGGCAGGTTAGCCAGTACTGTTTAAGTTTTTGTATGTATTTAATTCTGGACACCCTTTCTTAACAACAGGTGATTAGAAGCTGTCATTGCTAACCATATGTCTCTGGGAAGATCTTGAAGGACACCTTTTTGTGTTGCAGTGAGATCTTTGGTTCAGGGCTAGAGCTAGGGCTAGAGTTTCATAAAGTGTAGGATACTTAATATTTACTGAAAATCTTGAATGTTCACCTGCAATTGCAGTCATAGCCAGAAGTTTCGAGAACAAAGAAGTGAACTTGTGTGCTATTTTGTGTGCCATCCTTCATAAAATGATTTAATGTATTGCCAATTGTATGTGGTGCCCTCACAATCTCAGTTTTCTGTTTCTGTAAATTTTTTAAAGAAACTGTACATAACCCTTGATTATGTGTGAAGGATTTTTTTTTAATTAAAATATATTGGGACATGGTAAAACTTCAGCTGCAACTGTTGTACTTTTGAGTTTTCCATGGGATTTATTGGATTATATAATAGAATAAGGACAATAGAAGTTACTTCTGAGAGACTGGTCTTTCAGTTTGGTAGACTGATTGATGCAAAAATGAAGATCAAATGGTATAATTCCTGTGGTAAAAGCTAAATAAATAAAAAAAACTGGCTTTTCTTTGTTTTGGCATCAATGCCTTCATTTTTCTTGTGCTATCACCTGTATCAGCTTGTATTACAGCTGTGGTTCCCAAACATTTTCCACCATTTGAAAATTTAATTTTCTGCACGTGCACTGTGCTAGATGCTGTATGGTTTTTATTTGTATTCCCATTATTTTTATTCCTTGTGCATTGTATTTACAATTTGAATTCCACAGAATTGTAATACAATGAAATACAGTATACAAAACAAAAGAAGCAATAAAATGCAGTTAGAAATCAATAGGAATATTTAATGTGATGGATGTACCATCCCATCAACCACAATTCACAGATGTGCCATGGACCACCTGTGGGTGGCAGACCAGTTTGGAAATTCTGTGTTACAGAATTAATTTCAGTGACTTGGATCCAAAGTGCTCAATGCACAGAAACCAGTGGAGGCTGACTGCAGCCTGTCCTTTCCCTACAACAGTGCAGCACCTTGTATTACCTTAAAAGCTCTCCTGCAGTGTTCCCAAACTCAGGAGTAGCTTATTCTGAGGTATGAAGGCAGGAAAACCCTGATGCACTTCAGCCAGTAACCTGTTGGGGGGGCATAATGCAAATATTCTTCTCAAAATAAACATATAACTTGGATTTAGATTTGCAGAAAAGCCATCCACAAATACAGAACTCTGCTAGAGTGCATGTAAAGTTATGAACGGAAGAATCATGTTAGTTAAATAATCAAGTTGATTAGAATTCAAAATTTAAGCCCGCTGAAAAATATTTTTCTCTTACATGTGAGTAATCTTCTGACATGCATATGCCTGTGTTTATGTATGTAAATGGCATATATGACCTGGTTAATACGTGGAAACATCGTGTGTGAATGTCAGGTTTGCCATTGTGGGGGCACTTTCCCAAGAATTATAGCTGTTTCCACACATTAGCATTTTGGTTTTCAAGAATGGTGGGCAGGGACAGTTTTCAATGTAGAGGAGATGTGAGCCAGCCATATAGTAAAAAGAGAAGTTGCTAAATGGTTATGCCAGTAGCTGTTACTTGAAAACACTCCACAAAAAGCCAAATAAGTGGGTACACCTGCTTAGTCAGTGTGTGCTTCCTACTTCAATTAAATGTTTTATAGCATGACACACATACATTAAAAAATATGTTCATGCCTTGCACATCAGCTCAATTGAGCATCTGTGTAGAATTTTGTATTAATTTGACTTTTCCATCCATCCTGGTAAAGGACCAAAACTAAATATGTGAAAATAAGTTTTGCTCATTTAAATAGGAAGCAATTATTTGCTCAGAAAGGGGAAGAGTAAAATAAGGTATGGCACGGGATGGTTGTGATAAATAAAATATTAATTCCCCTCCCTTCCAGAGCTACATTTCATTTCCAATGTGAATATGATACTAAGTTTTAAAATGTAGCTTTTAAATTGAAAAGTACATTCTCAGATTAAACAGTCAATTGAATGGATTTAAAACTGCTTTTTACTGCACTGCTTTAGTCTTGTTATTTTTTTACTTTTATACAATTGATCTGTAATTCTTGTAGCACTATGACACTTCATAACATAAAGCTGTTACGCAAAGTCATTCCCTCTACCTAAATAACCATTTCAATATTCCAAACTAATTTTTTTACCTCTGTATGAGACTTCAAGCAAACAGATCTACAACTTAGTATTCGATATCTAATTTTTTTAGTACAAAGTATACACCAGTCCTCTCACCAAGCTTCTTTCACTGAGGCAATTGTTCATACAATCCAAAGTGAGGATTCTGGCATTACAAAACACAAACTGCTCCTTGTAGCAATGGTGTGGCCATGAACCATTGTACTAGCAGTCTTCTTCCTACAGTGGTACCTCGGGTTACATACGCTTCAGGTTACAGACGCTTCAGGTTACAGACTCTGCTAAGCCAGAAATATTACCTCGGGTTAAGAACTTGGCTTCAGGATGAGAACAGAAATCGTGCTCCGGTGGCGCGGCGGCAGCAGGAGGCCCCATTAGCTAAAGTGGTGCTTCAGGTTAAGAACAGTTTCAGGTTAAGAACGGACCTCGGGAACGAATTAAGTACGTAACCAGAGGTGCCACTGTATATAATAATACACGGCTCAGTTTAAAAAAATATTCGGTTCCTCTCCATTTTCATAAGAAATACCTTTCTGGATTGCATGATAGGTCCATCTAGTCTGGTCTCCAACAGCATTTAGCTTTGCAAGCTCACAGGCAGGGCTTGAACATCATGGTCATTTCTTGTTGGTTGTCCCAGGTAATACAACATTTGTAAATGGAGGTTCCATTTACCTATTTATGGTTGCTATCAGTGGAACAGCCATTTGAAAACAATGTTTTGTTTGTGGTGGTTTAGATTAAAGTTTCAAAGTACTTAAGTAGCAATATGTTTCTTATACACGTTATATCTGTGTAGGAGCTTGGCAAACAACAACAAAAAATCCAGTAGCATACTCAAGGCAATATTTTCCCAGCACCTTCCTAAGCAACTAGGCTGCTAATGTTCATTTTGTACATCATGTTGGCTTTAACTTGCATCAAAAACACTTTGTAACATATGCCTGGCCTTGTTAAGCGAGTGCCTTTTGTTTCAAGATGGCCTAAACACTGTCTTTTGTTGTCTTTTGTTGGTGCAGAATGTACTAGTACTGTTTAAATATGTCCTGGCACATGGATCTAATATTGTCATTAGATAATACACGGGTTGTATGTGCACATGTATACAAAACTTAGAACACAAGGAATAGCATTCTCTTGCTGTATGTCCTGCTGGACAGGACCTTTTGAAATTAAATGAAGTTTCAACTGTTTTGAAAATTGGTTACCTTGCTGCTGATAATTTATGATTGTTATGTACTACATTTCCACTCTGAAAACCTCTTTATGATAAGCAGTTTCAGAATAAAGTGTTGCCACATGAAGACCAGAAGCTGCTGGTAAAATTTATAACCCAATGCTTGAGAATGCATTCCATTTTCTGTTTTTATTAACGGTGGTTTGTGATAAAGATGAAAGGAAATGGGACCATAATGACACTAGAAATTGTGTAAAAATAAATAAATATGAATTTGACTCCAAAACTGTAATCTTCCGGGTGTTTAGTGTCTAGAGTTTGCAAATATATTTATAGTGGATTTTTTTTAATTTGCACGCTATTGGATTAAGGTATCTCCTAGAAAACGTTGAGCTAATAAAGTTTTGAAGAAAAAACAGATATTGCCTTGACTTTTCATTGGGTTTATTTTATTATAGCAGTATTACTCTATATATTGTAAGCCACCTGATGGACTTGCCTGGAAAAAAACAGCATATAAATATGAGCCTGGCTGTAGAATTATAATGTCATCCTAGCTAAGTAGTACTCGAAGGCAGGTGTAAATATTCCCAGGTCTGCTTAGATCTCCTGCCCTTAACCAAGCACTGTTCTGATCCTTTTTCTGCAGCACCAAGTAAGCATCGCCTACGGGTTAATAATAATTCTTAGTTATTTTCCATCCCGCCAGGAGACCCCCCCAGGGCACGTTGCAATCTGCACTTGTCCACCTATAGAAGGAATGACTGGGTGAGATGTGCAGCCCTCGCTTTTCCGCGGCCAGCTTCCTTTAACTTTTCCTAAGAAACCTTTTCGTTTGGAGAATTTCCACGTTTGCTCTGAAAAGGGAAAGCTTGGGACTCGGAGCAGGGCTTCGCTTAAGGCAGGGCTTGGGCGTTGGAAAGCCTTGCAGATGGAAGGGAGCGATTTCCAGGCAGGCTCGGAGCAAACCCACCAGTTGGCCTATCGCCTGCAAGAAGCGAAAGGGAAAAGCCTCGCAGCTGGCGTTCCCATGGCTCGCAGCTGCTCGGAGCAAGACGCGCCAATCAGGTGCGTCGCAATCCTCCAATCAGCGCCGCTGCTTCCCAAATACGAGCCCGCCTCTAGGAAGCGCCGCTTGGCGGAGCTGTTTCCGGAGCTTGGGTCGCTATGGCTACCGGGACCGCCGCTCCGGCGAGGTGAGGCGAGGTGGTTCCTCCCGGGGCGCTTTCCTCTATGGGGAGCCCTCGGCTGAAGGGAAGGAAAAGCCCTTCGCTGTTTGATAGGCAGCCGGTGGGGGCGGGGGCAGATTCTGCTCTCCCTTGAAACCCGGAATTTGGTGCGCCGAGGGAAGTGGGTTTTTTGTTTAGTTCTTGTTTCACGTTGCAACCCGCTTTTGCACAAACTCGCTTGTTACTCTTCTTGCAGTGCTGGAATAAGCAGCTGCGCCGTGAACTCCTTGATGCCACCTGCCTGAAAAGGGTAACGGATTTTTAGGACAGGAATCGCCATGGTAAAATACAACTGTGCTTCTAACGGTTATAAAACTGCCCGGTTATATTAGCAATCTTAATATTTTCCTCTGTGTTTTTTTAATTACACCACCCCACCAAATACATCCTTGTGATTATCCTTGCTGTAATTATGATTAAAATATAAAAGTGTTTTAAAAAGCGCGCGCGCGTGTGTGTGTGTATGTATGTGTATGCTAGTTTTTAAAATGTAGAATGGAAAAGGAAGCAATTTTCAGTGATTATCCCTCCCCACTGTATCTCCGTCTGCACCCCCGCCCCACTTTGCTCTGGAGGGAATCTTAACCCTCTAGACAAGATGAGGACTTCGAGGGGTGACTCTCAAAAAATCGCTGCCTTTCCTGCTCCACTAATGGAAGACTTGCTGTGAGATGAACACTCAGAGACACACCGATAGGGAAGGGAAGGGAAGACTTTTATCCAATCAGCAGCACTTTGGGACCTGGGATCTAATAAATACAGCCTTCCAGATCTCTTTATCTGGTCCCTGGGACTCTTCCCAAACCACACCCCTTCTCAGACCACAGCTCCTATCCCCAGGCTAAATCCCACAAGGGCACAGTTTTATCACTAGCATTGGACCCCCAGAACGTTGCCTATGAAGAAATGTGGCCTCTAGGTCGGGTCATTTCCCCACCCTGGACTTGACCAATGGAAAACTATGTACTGCGCAATTCTGTTATCAGTTTCCTGGGTGTAAGCCAGTGGAACTTGCTCAGTAGCCTTGTACAGGATTGCACTTGTAAGTCTTTTAGTGTACCTTGCTAGCTAGCATGGATTCGTTTCAACCACCATGTTTAAAGGTATCATTGTATTTTCTGTTTTCCATTGAGAAATGACACCATTGTGCTAATGTAACGTGGTTGGCAGGAGTGACTGAGTAGAATCTGGGAGACAGATTCAAAACCCCACTTAGCCATGGTCACTGGGCCGTGTGAGAATAAAAATTGAGAAGGGTTGTGTACACTGCCTTTAGCTCCTTTGTAGAAAGATGAGCTATAAATGTACTCATTATTATTGTAATTTTATATCCTGCCAGTCTGCTCAGAGGAGGCCAGGATGTCATAATAAATTATGCTATTTTCCTTAATACCTTTTCAGCTAATGTAGACACATTTTTGGGGAATCAAAAGCTTTTGGTGTTGCAATTTTTATTTTATTATTTGCTGAATTTTTATCCTGCTTTTCAGACCATTATTGCCTCCCATAGTGGCTTTCATCAATACAAAGGAGAAACAGACCCTGTCATCGGACTTACAATTTAAAAAGTCAAGACACCCAAGGAAAGAGGAGTGGTGGAAAAAGGAAGACAAGGGACGAAGCAGTGAGCTACAATCATTTATACTCAGTTCATGCCAGGCTGATCTCCCCTTGCTGGTGTACTTGCCTGAACAGCTGGTGAAATTCATCATCATGCAAGCATTTCCCCTTCCCCCTTGTGCTGTTCTGGGGGTTCTCCTGAGCAGATTTGGGCAAGGTGTGGGAGTCAGGTTGAACTTGGGGGACTGGCTTCCACTAGCTCAACAACTTAGGTGAATCTGGCCCATTGACTCTTGTTCCTTGGCCAATGGTTGGAGCCAAAGTGTCATTTCCTTTGCTTCTGCCATCCCAGGGCAGCTGTCAGCTGAAGCAAAGTGCTTGCTTGCTTCCTACATTCCTTCCTTCCTGAAAGAACAATCTTCCTTCAGCTGCTCTTTCTCTGGCAAATAGATGGGACCAGGTTGATCTTCCCCTTGCCTTGGTGCAACTTTCTAGTGGCTCTGTGTCCATTAGCTGGTGGCAGAAGCCAGAGAGTACTTCCCTTCTACTTTCAGATAATTTGAGATAATGTGGAAGGTGTTTCACTCTTTCTTCAGTTTTTGTTTTTTTATTATTATTACTAAAATGATTTGGGGGGTGGTTGGCTTCACACTAATTTCAGCTTGCTTTTATGAGGTGAGAGGATCTGTAGTAATAAGGAGGCCAGGTGGTGCTGGAAACTGCTTTCTGAAACAACCACTAATTCAGTGCAGCTTTCCAATAAGGCCAACTGTCTAACGTATTAAAGTATTTCTGTTGTTCCCTTTCCCTCCCTCCCCTCCAATTCTGTAATAACCTGAACAAAGAGTACCTTATATACCCATAGAACAGCTATGCTTTTATAGACTCCCTCTGTAACACTTTGTTGTTTAATACTCTGCATTGACTTTATTCTGACTTAACCCCTAATGTGCTGTTCTGCTTCATTTCCAGCTTTGAGGTAAAAAGAACTATGGAAGGATAGCTATCAGCATACATATTTGCTGGTGTCTTTGAACCTATAAACACTACATTGGTGTAAAGCTTATTGATTATATTATTTTTTCATGTAGAAGTGAAATATAAGGAGGATTATCATACACTTTTAGATCACTCAGGGCCTTATGTCAAGATATGCAGTAGTGCACATTCTCAGTTTGTAGCTAGGTTCCTTTAAAACCTGTTTGTGAAATATTTAGATGATTTATATTCAAAGCAATAAAATCAGATTACATCTAAATACTTCAACTTAATTTAGCTGGGCTTTGTTAGTATATTCATTGTAGAACACTACAGGATATTTGGAGAATAGTTCAAATATTTTCTTGAAATACTGCCACTGGAACCTGTCTAGTTAATCTGTCAGGTATCATTTATATCCTTTACATACAGTGCACAGTGTTTTTGAACAATGAGGACATATCTCTCAGTCTTGATAACTTGAACTGCAATAGTATGAGATGAAGGAGTTGGAAAAGTGGATCAGTTAATTTCTTGAGGCAGTGTGTGCTCTGATGTGCACAAAGTTCTCCTCTTTGTGAGAATTTTCTCATTGATTTAAACAGAGGTCAAAGGGAATAAAAGGGAAACTTAGCAGAATGCATCATAGGTCATGTTCGTCATTTCATCAAAGTAGTTGTTGGAGAAGTCAGGCATAAAATGTTAAATATGACTGTTGAAAGCAGATTGTTTCATAATAATATTTTTTAAAAAATATGCATAATAATGATTTTATTCTGCTTGATAATTAAATGTTCTACGAAATGAAAATTATTTTGTTTGGTTTTAGAAATGGAGAATTCATCTTCAAGCATAGAATCTGAATACATCAAGAACCTCCAACAGCAAATTTACTTCCTTGAACTGGAAGCTAATTTTCTATATCCTGTACCATTAACTAAAAGCCAATCTATTAAATAATCACAGGAATGGAATACAGGAGTCCCCACCCCCCACCACATACACAAGAGTTACGTTCCTGGACTCCACATGAATACATTAAATCATGTAAAATAGGGAGGGCACTATATAGAGAGGGTGGAAAGCGGGTCTCCCTCAGCAGGTCCCCACATGCCTTCCTCAGGTGGCGATGTGCCTTTGCACATGCATGCCCTGCCTGCTTCTGGTGACCAGAAAGTTGAGCTGGGAATCAGTGACTGGGTGGCTCCAAGTGCCCAGAGCCACTGTGGGGCCTGTTGGTGCTCTCCCTGTTAGTCTTGAAAGTTGCTGGAGATGGTTTCTTTTTATCTATTTTGTCCCCCATCCCCAAGAAATAATGTTGCTGCCTGCTTGTGGGGTGGTGAGGGCGACGGCGATGATGATTGGAGGACAGGCAACTCTTGGATCCTGCCCAAGGAACAAAATTGACACAAACAAGGGAGAGAGGGAAGGGCAGGTGGGTAGAGGTGCAGAGTGGTGCTGGCCCAGAGGAAGAAAGCTAAGGAGCGTACGTGAGTTGGGGCAGCGACACACTCGAAGTAGCCATGCAAACTGTATTTGCCCACTCTTCAACTCTCTCACTTTTTCTGTGCCATTTTTGCCTATTTCCTGCTTCAAATCATTTATTTGTTTAGTTTGTGGTGACACACACAAACCTAGTTGCGGGTGTACAGAATTCATATAAGTCGTGGTGGGGTGCCTGTATTGAAAATAAATACTTGAAAAGGAACATTGGAATGAATTATTTCATTTTTATGGTAGCTGAATGAAAGCAGCTTGACAGTTTTCTATTTTAAAATTCGACAGTTTTCTTTTTTAACATTAATTTCAAATTGCATTTTATCCTTAACTTGCTGTCATCACTCGTGATCAGGCTAAAAAACACACCAAACTGCAACCTCTCATTGCATCTGAAAAAGAACAAATGCTGCAAAAGCTACAGGTGGTTTTTCTTTATTATCTCTCTAGTGGCATAACCAGTATTTTCCAGTTGAACATGTAAATCTTGCTCCCTTAGTTAGGCTATCAATGTACTGTAGTAGTAATAATAATAATAATAAATATTGTTCACAGGAATTACAGTCTTATTCTGATGGCCTTCAGCTGGAGCTAAAGAGAAAAGAAAGTGGTTTGAACATACTGAAGACAGAGAGGGAACAACTTAGTAACCAGATCAACATGGCTGATGGTAATATTTAATTTGGTGTTATTCCTGTGACCAGAGCTTTTCTGGGTGGGTGGGGTGTTACTCAAGGGTACACAGTACCAACACTCTTTTTTCCTAGAAAAAAAGCTCTGGTTAAAAGTGTGGCACTTACTGTAAGAACTTCATGGTGAGTACTGGCACCCTTTTATCTAGAAAAAAAAACCACTGCCTGTGTCTGACATGCAGTCTTGCTGTCTTCTTTCACCACAGCCCTCAAATTTTTTATTTTTTATACAGTAAACAGTGGGAAATTCTGGAGGCTTTTAGCTTCTGAACACTATGAGTAAGGAAAACCCTTGGCTTAATGAGTTGGCAATTGTGGGAGAAAGGTCTGTTGGTAGACATAACACCTAGATACATATTCTATAAACAGAGCAAGCCTAAATTCATTTTCCAGAGCATCTCCCAGTGCGTTTCCGAACACAATTCAAAGTGTCGGTGCTGACCAAGTCTTAAATGGCTTTGGTCCAGTATACCTGAAGGAGTGTCTCCACCCCCATCGCTCAGCCCAGACACTGAGGTCCTCCTCTGAGGGTCTTCCGCTGGTTCCCTCACTGCATGAAGCGAAGACATCTCTGAAGGCAGCCCTGTATCAGATATTTTATATATTCTGAAAGCCACCCAGAGTGGCATGGGAAACCCAGCCAGATGGGTGGGGTATAAATAATAAAATTATTATTGTTATTATTTATTTAGGTAACATTTAAGATAAAAGAGAAATATGATGTTAAAACGTAAATAATCCAAATAGCTAATATCATTGAAGAAAGGTTGCAATTTTGATGAAGACAAACTAGTACTTTTCCTATTTAAATGACTATTACCTTGGCAGAGGAAGAATGGAACATGGGCATAAACACAAAACCGACTGGGTTTCGGGTAATCTGGAACTATGCTGGATACATAATTTCCTTGTTAAACCAAACCTTTTTAAACCACTGGACCTTTACTAGTTCTGAAGAGCCAAGTGGTGCTTTATATTGATAAATCATTACACAGAAGGTGAAAGAAGCAAAATATTTAATAGGGAGCATGTGTAAATATAGATAGAAATGCTGCATTTTTGAAGAGTGAGGTTCAGGGTTCCGACTCCCTCCCACCCCGTGCTATTCTTTTAAAAAAGAATACCACCACCACGTGGTGAAAGTGTGTATTACTACTTCAAATTATGCCTTCAGGATAAGTATAGTTTGTTTCCAGTGATGGAGTTTATTGATTATCCTTTCTGTAATGTAATTGTATTTTTGCTTTCTTTAATTCTGTATTGCTGCCAATGGAAGGCTGTTTTCATGCCTAATTGTAGCTTGGAGGACGGGATCTTTGTAAAGAATGCAGCTGGAGAGGGAAGAGGTAGCCTTTCCTTCCCTAGTTACAGTTTCCATGAATATTACCTTCCCTTTGACAATTTTGCTTTAAAAGTTGTCTCTTTCTCAAATTCACTGAGATAGTAAAGTTTATTTATTTATAAAACATATTTATATATGGCTATATGGGGTGTGTGTGTGTGTGTGTGTGTGTGTAAGTGTAATCAGAGTGGTTTACGACAATTATACATGAAATCATACAGTAAAAAAATGTATAAATTTCCAAAATCCGAGATCAACTATTACACAAGAGCATTTTCTTAATTTTCAGCATAAGCTTGGCAGCATAGAAAAGCACAACATTGGTCCCTGCAGAAGTGCTGTAGGCCACTCCATAAGCATACAGCATCATGACTTACAATGAGCATGCTTTGACTACTGTTAAACTATATTTCAAGCCTTGATTGAGAAACAAGTAGTCTCCACAAACACAAGAATTTCATGAACTAGGATATGTTTGCATTCTTGAATTTAATGTGTAATTCTGAATTTATCTGCCTTTTAAATACTATCTTTGTTTTTTATTTCTCTTTCTAAAAAGCAGCATGTATCTTTACTTTTGCTCAAGAAGTCTTGGGGTTTCTTCTTGTTTTCCATTTTTAATACTGTTTAATATTCTAGTTTTAATATCATCTTACTGCTTGTTCAAAGATCTTTTTACACACTCAAAACTAGTGTTTTTCTTAAAAAATGGTTAGGGGTACTCTCATTTTCCTATTCATATTGAAATACTGCCCCTCAATGAGGCCAAACTTAGATTCACAAAATGTTTAGGTGTATGCATACTCCTGCGCCCCCCCCCCCAAAAAGCACTGCTCAAAACCATAGTTTTATTTACATTCCCTTCTCCCCACCTTCTGCACTATTAACTTTGATACATGTTTGAGTGGTTCCTGCAGCTCCTCCTGCCTAAGGCACTTCTTTTGACCTTTTCACTTTACATCCATTATCCAGTTGAGCACATCACTTTGTATGATTTTAAGTGTCACACTGTTTTGGTGATGTATACATTTCTTCATTGTATCTCCTTTCTTGAAATCATCTCTATCCAGAGGCAGTTTCGGATAAATGGCTTTTCTTTCTGAAGCCTCACATTTAGAATATGAATGCAAAATGCTGTGTTCTAACTTTCCAGTAATTCAATTCAGCCCTTAGTTTGAATATCAACCTTGAAATTCCTCTGCTTTTGAGATTTATATCTTTGAGCTGGAAAAGTAGGTCTCTAGCTCAAAAATGTCATGACGGATGTTGACTTTGATGCAAATTATCGTCCCCCTGGAAACACAAAAGTAACACAGAAGAATGGTGTGGTTTTTTAACTTATTTCTGCGATCTATAATATTATATGCAGTTGACATTCTGTATTATTATTTACAATCCTCCACCACTGGTCTCCTGCTTCCAAGCAGCCCCCTTGTTGGCCCTGTTTTCTTTTTTTGCCTGCAGGGCAGACACCTAAACAAACAACTTAATTTTTTTCCCAGCTTCGCTTTTTCTCCTTTGACAAAACTACTAGCCCCGTGCATTGCTGATACACCATCTACCCCTTCACTTAATCTCTTAACTGTTGTTGTATTTACCTGAGTTTGGATCATTTCTGTAAAATATATTTTATTAAACTGTGTCAGTGGCTGGCTTTAGCTGGCTGCCTTTGCTCTTCTGTTCTGTTTTTTTGTAATACTGGTCACACCTGTATGCATTCAGCCTTTCTTTAACAAGGAATATCTGTATGATAATGGTTCAATGATGAAGACTTTTTTGAGAAGTAGGCCAATAAAAAGGGGAGCAGGAATAGAGTGGTGTGATTTTTTTCAATGATGTGGGCTTTGGGAACAGTATCTCGAGAATTATACAAGTTACGATTCATGAAAATATAGTTACTTGACTGCAAGCTTTGCATCACGCTTTGAACTTCAATTTGTGCAAGCATGCAAGCTTCGACAGATGTCACTTTTTTGCTCACTTTTAATGAATTTCGTAACCATCTCTACCCTGGACATTATAGTAATGTAGATCTGCATTCTGTGACAGAAAGAGAAGCTTTTAAGGTCTCCCTAAGGAGCACATATGGTAACACACAATACATTTAATGAATGTTTGCCATGAGTAGATCGGGCAGATTATTCACAAAAATAAAAAACAACACATGAGAAAGCCATTTCCCATTCCTGGGGAAATGACGTTGCGGGCTGGGAGCAAGCCCTACCCATGTGCACAGGGCGGGATAGCCCCAGCGCCACTGGGGGGTCCTCGGCCATGATGTCATCCCGGGGGCATGGTGCGGGCTATTTAAACTGCCCGCAACTGAGGACTCTCGCCCTTTTCTTCCTGCTCGCTCAGTTCTCCCGCCCTCCCTCCCTAAGGTTAGGCTCATTATCTCTTGACTTTACTATGGACCTCGGTTGGTCGCCTGTTGAAGGGGTCTGGTAGGAATTTTTTCCACTTGGCAAATTGGAACCAGCCATTTGGTTTTTCGCCTACCTCGTAGCAAATTGTCACAACTCTGTAAGGTTTGGCGGCTAGGCATTGGAGTATTTGGTTGAAGGGGAGGGGAGGTAGGGGCCATCACCTACCCCTCCTAATTCAAGGGTATTCCGTTAAAGGAATCCGGGGGGCATGGTCTCTGTCCGAAGCCCCAGACAGGGGGCTAAGGCCATGGCACGACCCCTAGCGGTGACCCTGAGGGAGTTCCTAGTTGATGTGTGTCAGCAGGGCTCACCCTACTGGTGGTTAACCCTCCCAAGACTTCCTGTGAAAAGGCAGGAGTCGGATATAGTTGTGTGGTTTCCAATGCCCAAGCCAACATCACTCATATTCTGTAACCAATAAAGTTGTGGCCTTTTTCATCCATTAACCCAAAATACTGTTTCATGTGTCTTTATTCCAACATCCCGGGAGGATTTGGGACCTTGCCATGCAAAGAAATTGGGGGTCCCCACTTCTCATTCTGAGCTCTTCTAAATCCAGCTCTAATGATATGCTTAAAAGAAAGCAGCAATGAAACTTTTTGATTTGGTTACATTTCAGTTAGTGCTTCCTCAAATGGTGTGTCAATTAATTTGACTATGGAACAATAGTTGGACTTCTTTTTTTTAAGTGTTCTATTTTAGGCTTTAGAAATAAATTCCTATTGATGCTAGCAATTGGAATTGGAATTTTACATTCTCCTCCCTTCCTCCTTTAGAGTGTCATTCGAAAGAGAAACAGGCTTTGGTAGAAGAAATCATAGCACCAAAGAGAAAGAAGGAACAAAATGACAGACAGATCTCTGCAAAAGAGGTAGAGATACTGCGTGCTCAACAGGAACTAGAGCAGCAACAGATGAACCTGAGTAACACAGAACATACTATCCTTGTACTACAAGCAAAGGTAATCTGATTACTTTGTTTCTAGCAATTACTGCAAATACCAATATGATTATCATTGTAGTCTGGCAGAGGAGGACAGCAGTTAGATATCTCACACCAGAGGTGCCTATATGATTCAGACCAGAGTTTAGGAAAAGTGACCCAAAATGTCTTAAATGAGTCAACCAAGCAACCGGCTACAAGGGGAGGTCAAAGCCTCAAGACTGTTACCCAATCTGGTTTGGGGGATATTACACCACAGTTATGGAGATACTATTTCAGTCTCGTTGCTGAAAAGAAGACCAGCTTAGGCATCTTATGATGTTGTTGGTGCCTAGAATTAGTCATCACCATATAAAAACAGATGACTGGTGTTGATAGAGCAGGCCATCTGTTTGGCTGTGTTCATACAAACTCAATAAAGCAAGAATCCCCCTGTATAAAGCCTTCAGTTGCTTGTGTGTGTGTTTTACTCATGCTATATCTTTGGACTCTTTTTGGTGAAAGGATCCAGAAACTTCATCTGCACACATGATGTTGTTATCTGGGAAACTGCAGAATGGCAACCATTTGTAAGCCCCAAATATTGACACATATTCATGCAACCAGGTTTGAGCTGTGATAACCTATACTTACCTTCTTTCACCTGTTGAAATTAAATCAAGGTTAAGCAACGGTCAGAACAGCAGAAGGCGGTGGAGTTGCAGCTTTCTGAAAAGAGGCAGGAGTTATTGAAAGTTCAATCTGCTGTGAATGAAATGGAAGATAAGATCTTTAAGAAAACAGCAGCGATGCAAGAACAAATCACTCACGAACTACGGTATCAACAAATGAATCTGGCAGATTGTGAAGGCTAGTTGAGGTTGCATTGTTTTAAACTCAGCAAATATCCACAAAAGTTACATGACTATCTGCCCACTCATGCCTTTATTCATAATCGGTTGCATCCAAGTAGCCTAAAAGAAATAAGAGCCAATTCACTTCCAGCTCTTGACCCAGTCATGAAACATATTGTCTCCCATATGGAGGACCTGCCTTACAGTTTTGAAACTGCTGTGATTTAGTAATACAGTTTCTGCTGCAGGAAAGAGAAAGTTTTGTCTTTGCAGAACTTCATTTCGTAGCCTGGAATTGGGTACCCCAGCACACAAGGGACCAGGCTTCATCCATGTGTTTAGAGAGCATGCTTATCAGTTGATTATTGCTCTTCTATTATAACCCATTCCTTTATCTGTTCAAGTGTTTCTTTGATTTGATTTTTTTATTTTTTTATTGTGGCGACTTATTTTACTGTGGGTTTTAATTGTTGTGAAGCTGTCTTAGGAAGTTAGGTATTCCTTGAATCAAAAAGCAGGATATAAATGATTGGATAATTAAAATGTGCATACATTTTCTGGTTAGGAATGAGATATCTCTCCTTCATCAACAAATACGTGAGAGAGAGCTACTAGCAGAACAGGATCGTTTCTTAAGAAGTAAAATGGTGGGTGATTATACAGCACTGAACAAGGAAAATTCTGCACTGCGGTCCAGGCTCTTGGAACTTACCAGACAAACAAACATTGTAAGAAAAGAAACAATCTAACCAACTGATATAAACTATTTGCAGAGGATTGTACATAGGAGAGTTCCTGTTTTTCAACACATTTGTGCTTGGAAGTTGCCAAATAATTATTTTTTATAGTTCATTTGCATAAACCAGTAAATAGTTGACGAATAAAGAATCTGTAAATTCCTGAAAGCCACTGATAGAAGTAGGCCAACTGAATATTCATTCTTCCTCTATCTCTCCAGGGGTGAAAATGTTACTACTTTTAAAATACATCTATGTCATGCAAATTAGATTGTGAGATCTTGGTATAAATAATTTCCTTCAGTGTTTAAATAACACTCTGGGAAAATAATAATAATTATATAATATCCCTTGAGTGTTGAGCAAAAGCATAAGGTTAGGACAATTCAGACACCAAGAAACAAGGAAAAGAAAATCTGAGTGACCTGAGTGTGTTTTCAAGGGTATTACATAGGAAGAGCTGGATACATTTATTCACTGCACCTGATTCTCCCGATTCCAAACAGATTAAAGACACACAGAACTTGTTTGGATTTGAAACTGATTCTTCATTTATCTTCCTAGTAGACAAATATGGATGTGTATCCATTGTGAGTTGTGCTTGCCAAAAAAACAGTCATGTAGAAGACTTGTGCTCTATATTTTTCCTATTACCTGTTTTAACCAATTTCATTTGTACAACTGGTTAGGTACTAAAAGCATGTGCCTCCTGAGCTGTCCTTTGTTATAAGTGCATGCTTTTCCAAACCTTTTGCTGGGAGCTTTCATTAAGGAGGCCAATTAACTAGGAGCTGTAGGAAGTTAAAGCCTGTGTAGGCAGACATAGGAAAGGGTCCAGCTACACAACTGAATTATTTGGTTATTACTCCAAATGCCATTGATCAACTGCTGTGCTTTCAAAAACTGTACAAGATATGTAATTTCATGCTTAGTTCACCCTTCCTTGTATAACTTGCTACAGGAGAAAGCACTCAAGGAGGAGAGCTATACATCACACTCTGCCAGCATTGCTCAGTTTCTTACTTTGAAAGATCGTGAAGAACATCTGCAACAAGAGATCAAGAGGCACCAAGAACTCCTGAAACAGGAAAATAACATCTTCCAGGATTTTGAGGATAAGGTTGTATGATGCTAGAGATTTTCTTAAAGGTAAAGGTACCCCTGCCCGTACGGGCCAGTCTTGACAGACTCTAGGGTTGTGCGCTCATCTCACTCAAGAGGCCAGGGGCCAGCGCTGTCCGCAGACACTTCCGGGTCACGTGGCCAGCGTGACAAGCTGCATCTGGCGAGCCAGCGCAGCACACGGAAATGCTGTTTACCTTCCCGCTGGTAAGCGGTCCCTATTTATCTACTTGCACCCGGGGGTGCTTTCGAACTGCTAGGTTGGCAGGCGCTGGGACCGAACGACGGGAGCGCACCCCACCGCGGGGATTCGAACCGCCGACCATGCGATCGGCAAGTCCTAGGCGCTGAGGTTTTACCCACAGCGCCACCCGCGTCCCAGAGATTCTCTTAAAGGTAAAGGTAAAGGTACCCCTGCCGTAGGGCTAGTCTTGCGAACTCTAGTGTGGCCATTCACTCTAAGGGTGAGCTGTCACACTTGGTCAAGGTGACACTGGGAGCAGAGCCGCCCGAAACGCGTTTTCCGCTGGTAGTCTATTATCTACTGCACGGGGTCTTTCGAACTGCTAGGTGCAGGCGTGGGACGAACGACGGGACGCACCCGCGGGGATTCGAACCGCCGACGATCGCAAGCCAAGGCGCTGAGGCTTTACCCCAGCGCACCGGTCCAAAGATTCTCTAGTGCTTTAATTCTGAAATGAGCAAGGACTAATTTCTTAGCAGGTTCTAGATCAGAACACTAATTAGCATAAAGGATACTGAAGGATTTTCCTGACTGGGTTCAAACTGTCTTCTTCTTTCTTTCTTTGGCAACCACTTGTGGCCAAGTAAGATTTTCTTCCATAAACATGGTCTTAACAGTGTGTTCTTAAGTGACTGTGGTGGCCAATTCTGGATCCACACATTCTTTCACAGTGCAGATATAGGTTTCTGGCCGGGAGTTGATCACGGTGAGGATTTGCCAAACGTGCCTTCCTCTTAGCTCATTTTGTCCCATGTTCATGCTTCTTCAATTCTATTACGCCTTTGGTAAAGGCTATTATCCAATTGGAGTGCTCGCAGGCCAGTGTTTCCCAATTATCTATGCTTATACTGCATTTTAAAAGATTTGCCTCAAGAACATCTTTAAACCTCTTTTACGGTGGCGCTGTGGTCTAAACCACAGAACCTAGGGCTTGCCGATCAGAAGGTCGGCGGTTCAAATCCCCACAACGGGGTGAGCTCTCGTTGCTTGGTCCCTGCTCCTGCCAACCTAGCAGTTCAAAAGCATGTCAAAGTGCAAGTAGATAAATAGGCACCGCTCCGATGGGAAGGTAAACGGCATTTCCGTGCACTGCTCTGGTTCGCCAGAAGCAGCTTAGTCATGCTGGCCACATAACCCAGAAGCTGTCTGCAGACAAACGCCAGCTCCCTTGGCCAGTAAAGCGAGATGAGTGCCGCAACCTCAGAGTCCTCCATGACTGGACCTAATGGTCAGGGGCCCCTTTACCTATTGTCCACCAGTATTTTGCTTTCAATTCTTAAGTTGGGAATAGAGTAGTTGCTTTGGCAGACATCCGAACCACATGACCAGTCCAGCCAAGTTGATGTTAAAGAATCATTGCTTCAACACTGGTGACATTTTCTTTTTCCAGTACACTGACATTAGTTTCAGAGACAAAACATTTCTGAAACATTTTTATTTTGATACTTTAGTCTAGAAATAAACTTTCTGGTTTATTTATTGTTTGTGGTTTCTAACAGATTAGAATTTTGGAAAAAGGAAACACATCTTTTAAGTTAAGCATTGCAACAATGAGCAGTCAAGTAACTGAAGCAAGAGCCTTGTTGGACAGAGAGGAGCAGGACAATGTTGAACTAAAAAGAGACAAAGTTCTGCTGGTTGATCTTGCATCTAATCTACAGAACCAGGTAAACTCTTTTATACAGTCTATAATGAAGCTGCGGATCTGCAAACAAAGCCATTTTGGGCTTAGTTGGAGCCCAAATAGATAATTGCTATGTATATATAAGAACATAAGAAAAGCAGATACCTCTGTGAATCCCACAAACAGAACATGAACATATTAATGCTTGCTTGACATCCCCAGCAATTAGTATTCAGAAGTGTACTGCTTGTTACCAGAAGTAATATAGTCATGATGACAAATATGTAAATCATGTTATTTACTGATAATTTGGGTACATTTGCCATTATGAGCTTCCCTTGACAAACCCTACTTTATTTGATGATGTATGTGGTGGACAATGCATCATCATTATTTATATAGCACTATCATTGTGTATGGAGTACCAAAGGACCATACCCCCAAGGTGGCTTAGAATGTAATACTTGACATAAATAAAATAACAAAGGGAAGGGAAGGAAGTGGAAGCAGGTGTAAGTGAGGGAAATATGCATTTATATAATTTGTACATACTTTATGAAGTCTGAGTAATCCTTACATTGTACTCTTATGTATGTTTATTTGGAAGTAAATACTATTGAATTCTGTGGAAGTATTCCCAAGAAAGCATGCATAGGTTTGCAGTCTTATTATAAAACACAAATATAACTGCAAACCTAATTTGCTTTTGCTTGTAAGCCTAGGGCCAAACTACATATTATGCTTATGCATATCATGATGCTTAAAAATGTGATTAGCACCAGTCTTTCCTCTTTTAAAAAAAGCAGCTGCAGGCAACCCAGTCTGGATTGCGACCACAACGTAAGGGAATTAACATTTTCCCAATATACTTAACTGACCTTGCTATCCATTAGTTTCATCCATTTGTAGACCTCTTACTTTTTTCTTTGTAAGTAGGCTTCTTACTATTAATGAATTTCTAAGCAGTTTACAATAAGGAAAACCCAGATACATGATTAAAATATACAGATGTACCATAAGCCCAATTTCAGATGATTTACATTGAAAAATCCAAATACATAGACACACTATCCATATCTATAATAACTATATCTATATAACTAAAATTGGAGAAAATTTCTAGGCAGCATGGTACGAATTCCCAATCAACATAAAGCTCACTATTCACAAGCCTTTCCCACAATATTAGTCACACCATCCATTCGAAAAACCACTGCAGCCATTCACCACCTGATACAGTATGTCTGTTTGCAGCACCTTTTGGGCAAAAGGTTGCTTGAGAGGTGATTTTCAGGAAAGAGGAATGGGTTAAGCATCCTCCAGTTGCTGCAGCCCAGATTCACTGTGCCATTTCCCAAGCACTTCCTTTTTCCTTGTCAGGAAAGAGAAGAAACAGGTATTCAGTGTATTTTTTAAAAAATGTTTGCTTAATATTTGTTCCTAAGGAACATCTTTTCTTTCACAATTTTCTTTCTTTAGCTCATTGATAAAGAAAGCAGTCTTCTACAGACTTCCAATAAGATGCTGCAGCTGGATGAAGCAATATCAGCGTTAAAAACAAGGCATGTGTTACATCAGTCTCTTGAATCAGAAAAATGGGATAAAATCTCCAAAATGGCAAATTCCATGAAGAAACTCAACAAGTCAATGACAGATGTTGTAGTCAAAATGGGAAAATAGGAATCTGGTATTGTAGATGGGTTTTGATGTCTTAGAATTTTGAACACTGATGAATTTAAAACATTTATATGGTGTCATGTGACCTAGACAATTAATAGTAGAAATTGGCTCCCCTACATTTCTACTGTTAGAGGTGTCTGCTGGATCAAAAGTTCTTTCCACAAGCAGAGTGGCACACCTGGGTTTCACCTACAATGTTTAGGGTTTTTCATCTGTTTTTGTAGACCATCATATAATTGAACATTTTGTATGTCCTCTTATATGTATATAGTGTGTGTGTGTGGTTGTGTGTGACTTGCTCTTCAGTGCATCATATTAGAGCACCTTCTGATGGTAGTCTTAGCATATCTTAGTTGATATGGTCCAACTTAAGCATTTCCTTGGCTGGTTGTTTTATATGGTAATACATTGATCTTTATAATTTATATATAAAGTTTAAGCACTGATACCTTGCCAGCAAAAAGTTTTGGTAATCTGTAGATGAAAATCCACTGGCTTCTATGACCCTTCTATGTTTATGTTTAAATGTGTCTGTTTAAAAATATGTTAAAAAACCCCAAAACCCCACATCTATGGTTCTCAAATGCATCTTCCTATTCCCACATAAATAACAAATCTCTACTTTATCCCAGGTAGAAATGCAAATTGCAAAGGAGCCAACTTGCCCAAGAAAGCAATTAAAAATTTATATTCCACAATAATTCTGATTCAAAACCAGTTCACAGGCAGATTTCAGGAAGATCATTACACATGTATAAATTGAAGGATGCCCTAGGCAGCTATATGATCTTTCACACTTTTATCTGTAAGAAACAAAATTAAGATGCAATATGAAGTTTGCAATGTGCAGTGTTACAGACTGCTTTAGGCAGTTGCTCATTTTAGACCCCCCCCCACCTAAGTAATGTTATGCCTTTTCCCTCCTTTAAATCAAGAAAACTCATGTCACCAAGCGTCAGCAAACTTTTTCAGCAGGGGGCCGGTACACTGTCCCTCAGACCTTGTGGGGGCCGAACTATATTGGGGGGGGGATGAACGAATTCCTATGCCCCACAAATAACCCAGAGATGCATTTGAAATAAAAGGACACATTCTACTCATGTAAAAATATGCTGATTCCCGGACCGCCCGCGAGCCGGATTTAGAAGGTGACTGGGCCAGATCCAGCCCCCAGGCCTTAGTTTGCCTACCCATGTCTAAACCCTTTCAAGGAAAAGGTCTTAACTATTTGTCCCAAGGGGAATCTGCAGTTATGCTATTGATATTCATCCTCTTATGTGTATGTCCATGTAAATGCCACAATCCAGACAGTGACTTGATATGAACCTAAGTGGGACATATGGCTTGTTTCCCTTGGGGGGAAAAAAACCATACACAATACAAAACATGTTTTTAAAATGCCACTATCACAAGTGGAGAGTCCAGCTTTACACGTGAAACTAGTTGTGAGCCTTTGGAGATATAATACTAGTTTTCTCTGCTTTTCTTCATAGCAGGTTCATTGTTATTATATTCTGAGCTTTATTGTTATTTTTCCCATTTCATCATATATGAGAAATTACAGTTGGAATGTGCTTGCTCAAAGTTACCGTATTTTTCGCCCTATAGGACGCACCGTCCCATAAGGTGCACCTAGTTTTTTGGGGGGGAAATAAAGGGAAACAAATTATTTCCCCCCAGGCGCGGGGCTGGGGCAGGGGAAGCTCGAGCTTCCCCCGACCCCAGCCCCCAAACAGGCAGCTCTCTGCAAACTGTGGGAGCGCTCCCGCTGCTTGCGGAGAGGTCCGCGAAGCCTGGACGCGCTGAGCTGAGCGCGCGCAGGCTTTGGCATGCAGGCAACTCTCCGCAAGCATCGGGAGCCCAGCGCTGGGTTCCCGCTGCTTGCGGAGAGGTGTGCGAAGCCTGGAGAGCGTGAGGGGTCCGTGCGCACCGACCCCTCTCGCTCTCCAGGCTTCAGCGAAAGCCTGCATTCGCCCCATAGGACGCACACACATTTCCCCTTCATTTTTGGAGGGGGAAAGTGCGTCCTATAGGGCGAAAAATACGGTACTCAGTTCGCCTGAAGCTGATTTAGGATTTGGTTGAGTCCTTTAACAGTTAGGAAAAAATGGGTATAACATGTATGTTCATATGTTTGCTTTACACATGGATAAGGTTTGGTTAGGCTTTGGGAATTTACAGAAATAATCAGAGAATGAGAAAAGTTGTGTGCTATCCTTTACTGATTTACTACATGGATTATTATTACTATTATTAATTAAATTTGTATACTGTCCTTCATCTGTAGATCTCAGGGCACTTCACAGCATAAAAATGCAAGGAACACAAAGCTGTAGTTATCCTTACAATGAGACAGAGTGGTTAAAGGGATAGCTGCTCATGCAAGTGAGGATCACAGCTGAGTCTGTCCCAGATTCAAACCCGGCTCTCTGGCCACACCACCAACAACAACAATAATAAGAAACAAACAATTTGCACCCTGCCCATCTGGCTTTCCCCAGCCACTCTGGGCAGCTCACAATAGAATATTAAAAACATGTTAAACATTAAAAACTTCCCTAAACAGACCAATCACTGAAGTTTCCTCATCTGTGCACTTATGTATTTGCATTTAAACTAACACAGCCACTTTGCAGTCTTAACAGTAACAACATCGTTATAAAAACATACTGAAGCAGCAGCAGAAAACAGAAGAAACTGCCCAGCCGATTCCAGACATAAGCAGCAACAATGACTCTGAGAACTAATCTAGAAGTAAGATCTACTGGAGCAAAATTGCCTTCATTAACTTTCTAAAAGTAAAAACTGAGGGGATTTGGTGTGCCTCTTCAGAAAAGGAACTGCAGCTCCTTGCTAGCATGGACTCCCTCAGAGAACTTGAGGCGGGGAGGGGAGTATGAACTGCAGGACCTGCAGGAACAAAAACAATCTCTCCCTTGACCTGGGTTTTAAAAAGCCATTCTTAGAAAAAACAGCGCGATGCTTTCACTTTAACTAGAAAAATGAGGAACCTATTTCAGTAGTAGGTACTACATGCAAAACCATTAGGCGATAGTACATCTGAGGCATTTTAAACGTACATTTTCCAGCTGAAGGTCGCGCGCGCCTCCACGCCACCTGCCCGCCGCGGCGAAGAGAAACGTGTTGACCACCGCGCAGCTTGTCACGTGTATAAAAAGCGGCCCCGAGGGCGGGCGGGCGCGCGTGGGTGCTGGGCGGGAAGCGGGCCTGCAGGTGGCGCTGTATCGAAGCGCCTCCCCGCGCGCGAGCGAGAGGGAAGGGAGCCGAGCGAGCGCGAGCCGGTAGCGGCTGGCGATTAGCGGGAGCAACAGTCGCGAAGCGCGGGAAGCGGCGCAGCGCTCGAGGGGCCGAAGCGAGTCTCTCCCCAGCCGAAGAAGCGGATCCCAGAGGGCCCTGAAGGGGGAAATGGAAGCGCAGGCGGAGGAAGGTCAGTTCCTTCGGCGGCCAAGCGGTTCGGAAAGGCGCGCACGCCGCTCTCCTTTCCCCTCTCAGCTTCGCGCTCGGTGATGTATCTATACTGTATCTATATCTATATATTGGAGGGGGGGGAATGTTTTAGTATCCACACCCCACCCTCATTCTGCATGATAGGAGGTAGAAAAAGTTTTGAAGAGACCCGCATGGCAAAATTTGATGAATTTTCTGTGGAAAGTGTGAGGTCCACTGTTATTTCTTTCCTGTGGATCGGTAGAGTTATGGATGCTATATATATATATTCTCAAGGTACATTTTTGAGTGCTTCGAGCAAAGGTGTCTTGCTCTGCTGTGATTCGCTGCAGTCGGAGCTGTTTCCTGAGAATCAAAACACAGCTGACCACCTTGAATGGCCGGTTCTCTTCTTGTCCCTTAACAAACTGCCACTTTTGAACCTTAAGAGAAACCAGTAAAATCGCCTGCCCCCTCCACTCCACTTATTTCTCATAAAGTGCAATCTGATAAGCCAAATAACTGGAGTGTTTTAGTGTGTGACATGCTTGCATGTTGTGTGCATAGTAACAGCTGTGGAGCACAATCCTGAAGTTGAGTCCCATTGTGTTCAGTAGAATACATTCCCATGTAAGCATGCATTGTTTAAGCAGCCATCCCAGTTACTTTCCAAGCAAGATCCATTCGCCACCACCCTGAGCCAGTAATAATTCTATTGTCATTCTTTCTCCTCCTCCTTGCACTTAGTGTATAATGTTTCAGTAATGTGTTTTTAAAACGCACCCTTTTTGTACACTAAAACAGCAACAACAGCAACAACTCCACACTTGCATTTTCCACTAACATTTTTTTGTCCTCTTCCTGGGATAGGAGTGCTGGTTACCTGTCGCTCACAGAACGAAAGTTTCTTTGTTGACTCCGAATGTAGTGAAAGCAATAAATATTTAGTTTAATTAAAGGCTCTCATGGGCTTTGAGGATGAAACAGCTTTCACAATACCTTCTGAACTTTTATTTTGCTAATGATCATCTGGTTGATATATAAACCATCTTTCCATGAGGGTTATTGCAGTATTATCTCCCTAGGGTTTTGCTTGGATTGCAGCATAACAAGCTTGGCAATTCAAAGCAAATATACTGTTGTAATACTGCCTAAATATCTACTGCTCCATAAACCTTATTCCTAACCAATAGTTTTCTCTGTTTGCTGTGTCTATGTACACATCAGATTTATGGCAGATTGCATGCATTTCAGCTCGATATGGGTAGCATTAAAATGTTTGCTATTAAAGGGATATCTAGTAAAATTAGAGCTTTTCCATGCAGCATTTGCTTCTTAATGACCTCTGTCCTCACAGTGGAAAGTATAATCCTCTTCTTATGACTCGGTCAGTCGCATGCACACTGCTGAGTTGTTTCTAGGCCTAGTAATCACAGCAGAATGTTCTCTACCTTGTATTTTTAAGTGAAAAGAAGCACTCTTCCATCTCATTAACATATCTGAAAATGTTTGATTTCATTTTCTTGAGGGAGAAATGTGCATAAACCTCTTCCAACTGCTTTATCACAGGAATAAAATTTTAGAGCCTCCTTGTTGATTAAATATATATGCTAGTAATTTGTCTCAAGAACAATGCAAGTGGTGTTCTTTAAAATTGACCATTACTTGTCTTTGTTAATCATCTGAATCAGTGTTAGAAACTGAGCTATGAAAGCTAGGAGCTAAATGGCACCTTAAGCCATTTATGGGCGCATAATAACCCATTTAAGATTATGGGCGCAACAACGGAATGTCTAGGTGCACATTTTTATAAAAAGAATACAAAGCTGGAAATGAATGAACTGCAACTAAAATATTATGTTTATTTTTCACATGGTCTAGTCCTTCCCCTAATATTCTTAAGAAGGTCTCTTCTCCAATCTTCAGAGTAGCTGGAATTGGGGTGGCAGAAAAAGGTCCTACTTTCCTTCCATTCTGCAGTTTTAATCTGAAATTAAAGTACAGTGGTACCTCGGGTTACAGACGCTTCAGGTTACAGACTCTGCTAACCCAGAAATAGTACCTCAGGTTAAGAACTTTGCTTCAGGATGAGAACAGAAATCGCGCAGTGGCGGCAGGAGGCCCCATTAGCTAAAGTGGTACCTCAGGTTAAGAACAGTTTCAGGTTAAGAACAGACCTCTAGAATGAATTAAGTTCTTAACCCGAGGTACCACTGTACTGCTCCCAGAATTCAGAAACTGCCCGCACTAATGACATTCCCCGTCGCAAAATGCGCCTAGAACAATGGGAGTTTCAAACACTGATCTGAATGTAATTGGGCTCTGTTCCACACCTCAATTCTATGTTTATTTTTCTAGGAGTATTGATGGAATCTTAACTCCCAGATAGGCCAGTTGGGATAGGTTAGGTCAGGATGTGACAAATCCCCACCGCCCCATAGCTCAGCTGGCCTGAACCCAGTCTAAATGACTTTAAAACAGTGTGGAGGTGGGGCTGCCTTGGCATCTCTCGCCCTGTGCTCACAGCAGCCTAGGCAGAAGGGGAGGGACAGACAGATGGATGCACTAGCTTGCAGCTGGTTCAGCCAACAGGCCCAGCTCAGATACCAAGCTAGCTTAGCCCTGTCCCTTCACTGCCCCCCCCCCACTTTTGGGCTCTACTTGTGGACAGAAGGGTAAGGATGTGTGCCAGCAGGGTGATGCTTGCATCATTCTGTAGGCAGTGGGGGGCCAGCAGGGCTGGGCATCAGTACAGCTTTGCCATTCTAACACACACCCCTGCCAGCTCAGGTCAATGAGGTCTGATTTGCCTTGCCACCCTGGCATATCTGTTCCTGCTGGCTAGGGGTCAACTCTCCAGTGCAAGTTATGCTGGTATAGAGGGCAAACTGTATCCTAACTCATTTGTGAGTTTCATCCACAGATCTTGGTGTAATGCCTAAGGAAGACCTTTTTTATTTCAGCAGGCATTTTATGGTTTTTGTTTTTAACTGTTTTTTGTTGTTGTCATTTCAATGTTACTGTGCACCACTTAGAGACTACGGTGTTAAGTAATACATCAACAAATACATAAAATAAACTTACAATATCAAAAATGCAGGTGTAACGAAATTCATCTCATAAGACAGGCAGCAAATGAATTATATTGTCACTCCCCCACCCCCACTAGATGCAGTTAGGTTGCAACTTGTCTTACACAGGAGAGCTGTCCCTTCATATCTTCACTGGTTAGGATTGCTGTCTAAGCTCCATTGCACTCAGCTGAGTACAATGAATTGAGCAATAATCTGTACATGGTGTATAGATGTATGTATAGTTGAAGAAATGGTCAGCACGTAGAGCCACTGTCAATTGTAAATCCCAGTTACGTGCATCTACACAAGCACAATGTTGCCCCAGCACCTTCCTGTGTGTAGTGAGTTTTATGTACATATGATTGTAGCCTAAGCACACGCACTTTCATACCATAAGACGGAATTCAAACGTAAGAAGAGTGGCAGATGGGCAGCAACCTACGGATGATCGCTGCAAAACCATAACTGCGTGCACCAGTTCAAACCCTTTAGCCCCTAGCTCCAAGAGCCATTTTCTACATTCCTGCCCTGTGATCGCTTCATGCACAGCCTTCCCTCAAATATTGTCAGATTAGTGTATAAATGCTGTGCTATAACTTGCTTTCCTATTTAACAGATGTGAGCCTGGGAGAAGCTTTTGACTGACCGCACAGCACACTCTTATCTGCAGTTTTACTCAGTGTGTGGCATTTAATTATTAATTGTAGATCTAAATGGGCATCAAAGGCCAGAGCACTCTCTGTTCACCTCCCTTATAGTGTTGGCGAAATGACTTAGCAGTTAAACCTTATTTTGAGGGATTACCCAGAATACATGTAGTGCCTGTGCTGCTTACATGCTTTCTACATATTATTATTTATTCTGTGGGGCCTGTAAAGGGGTATTTAATTTTTTGTTGTTGTGAAAAGGTTATGAGGGGAGGAAAAGGTTGGTGTATTGTTTGGTACCCACACAGGGAACAAACATTTTCAAGTAACAGGCATGCTCCTTGAACCCTTTGTTTAGTGGTTTAAAGAAGCTGATTAAATAAAATGAAAGGGTTTGAACTGCAGTTCTTGGCTTGTCTAATAATTCTAGCTTGGATTGCAGCATAATGCGTTTCCCCCCCATTTTTGGCTTGCTTCCCATTTTGCAAATGGAATTCATCAATAATATTCTGAAGAATTAAATTCTTCACCACAAAAGACAACTGGGAATATATTAAGAGCTGATGAGCTGCAGCATGCAATTTGAATTCGTTCATATCTCAATCTCACAAATATCCTAGTTATCTCCATGTCATATTTGATAGGCCTGTTGTACTTGGACCCAAACTAGAACAATCTGCATCTGTGGCCATACTGTCTAGCTATAGAGTCTGAGGGAGGCTCCCTCCATTGACTTGGCTGGACTAACTGTCATTCCCCCCCCCCCAATACTATATATCCCCTGATGATTATTTTTAACATGGTCATTAACCATTTATGTAACTTTGGGAAGAACCGGTGCTCAATTTGTAAGCTTATATATTTTTACAGTGCCGAGAATGCTTCTGTTGGTTATACAGTAGTACCTCAGGTTACAGACGCTTCAGGTTACGCGTTTTCAGGTTGTGCACCGCGCCAAACCCAGAAGTACCAGAACAGGTTACTTCCAGGTTTCGGCACTTGCGCATGCGCAGAAGCACCAAATCATGACCCGCGTGTGCGCATACGCGGCACTGTGGGTTGCGAACATGCCTCCCACATGGATCATGTTCGCAACCTGAGGTTCCACTGTATAATATTTTTGCCTCAGATGCTAGTCCTACTCAGAGTAGACTCACTGAAATGAATTAAAAATCCAAACATTAATTTCAAATGGTCTGCCCTAAGTAGGTTTTAGCTGGATGTAGCCTGTTATTATGACTGAAGTATCTTACCCAAAAAGATCTGCACAAACCAGTTTA